AACATTTGAGCAACCTTTGCTCACATTACACAGTGACTCATTTACATCACAATAATTATCAACAACAATTTTCTCTCCTTCCCCCACCTCAGGGATTACACTCACCTCATCAACCTCACACAAAAAATCAGACACTTTAACTTCAGGGCTTACATTATCTGATGGCTCACCATGAGATACAACAAAAGTCATGTCCTCAGACATTAGAACAGGGTTCTCTTTGCTTTCAATGCCGCCCGTTTCCATAACAACCAGTTCATTACATACTGTGACGCTGGGACAATCCCCTACATACGTCCATTTAAGGTCATTTCCAATAACTTCAACCTTATTAAAGTGTCGTCCCTTTTCTTCTTTACATTGGACTTCCTGGGATACACCAACTACTTCAACCTCATTTTGACATGAATCTAAATCTATATTAATACCCTTTGCCACTGGGGGTATGTCAACACGGTCAACGTTGTCCCTTTTAACGTCAGCCGACGGACCAATTAAAAAATCACTGTCATTCCTATTTAAAAAAATTGAGTCGTCACCAGAGGCAATAATATCATTTTGTTCCTCAGTATCCTTAGCCATCAACCGTGGTTGCGAGGCCGGCTCTTGCCTGGGGTCAGGATCATGAGTATGTCCACCGTTATCCACATATTTGTTTTCACTTACATTAATAGAAACTCTATTAAAATTTTTATAGGGATTCTCACAGTGAATGCTGGCAATGCCATAATATATTTCTTCCACTTGACTCTCGTCATCGTCACTGTCGCTATAATAATAAGCCTGTCTCTTTAAAATAATTTCCCGTCGTTCTGCCTCTAATTTCGCACGTCTAATTTCTTCATCTAGATTATTGGGTTTATATTGTCTCTGACTATATCTGGGTTCGTACTGTCTCTGTCTATCTCGGGGTTCGTCGTGCTGTCTCGGTCTGGCTGTATGTTCTACATAATATCTCTGTCTATTTTTAGGTTTATACTGACTCTGTCTATCTCGGGGTTCGTCGTGCTGTCTCGGTCTGGCTGTATGTTGTACATATCTTTGTCTATCTCTAGGTTCGTACTGACTCTGTCTATCTCGGGGTTCGTATTGACTCTGTCTCTTTAAAACAATTTCCCGTCGTTCTGCCTCTAATTCCGCCAGTCTAATTTCTTCATCTAGTTTATCTAGTTCAAATTGTCTCTCTCTCTGTTTATCTATACGTTCTTCCTCTCTCTGTCTATCTGCACGTTCTCTCTCTCTAGCTCTGAGTTCTTCCTCTCTCTCTTCCCGTACGTGTTCTTCGAGCTTAACTCTTATATACTCCTCTAGGTTCTCTCCGGTATAACAAAGTAACACTCCCACATGCCTAATTTCTTCTAAACTCCATTTCCTACTGACATATCCAGCCATATCAATGCAAATTAAGGGTGATCATACAGTAAACAATAATTATGTTTTAAGGATCAATCGCAGTCTGTTTAAACTAACTCTAGCAAACATCTAAATTCTACCCAGGTAAAAAAAATGTAAATACAAAAGAAAATGTATGCCAAAAATGTTCAAAACAATAAAAATCCAACTTGCCTGGTTCGTGGAAAGTCCTATAGAATTTAAATATTATTCAAAACACACACTGGGCTTAATTAAGTGTCAATGGTTCTTTACTGTCAATAGTTCTCTCACAAACTTCAATTGTCCTATATGGCGATCTTGGGACACAGTCATTGAGGTGTGGGTGACCGGGACGGGTCACGGGACATCGGCAGCTCACTGGACAGAATGTAGGCGTATCGCCGACACTGGACAGTTCGTGGGTAACTCACCAATACAGGATCGGGCATAGGAAGCTTGATGCGGGGTGGGACGTTGGTGGCTCGTTGAAACAGGACAGGGCGTTGTTAAACTGAGTGACCGGACTGGCCACAGGACTTCACAGCTCACTGGACACGAAGTTGGTAGCTCACTACCGACAGGACGTAGATAACTCGATGCAGCGATGGTCGTAGTTAATTGCGATGGTCGTAGTTAATTTGCTATAACTGGACACGAGGTTAGTAGCTTGATAACGGGCAGGACGTAGTTATTTCACTGGAACTGGACATGAGGTTAGTAACTTGATAACGGGCAGGACGTAGTTATTTCACTGGAACTGGACATGAGGTTAGTAACTTGATAACGGGCAGGACGTAGTTATTTCACTGGAACTGGACATGAGGTTAGTAACTTGATAACCGGCAGGACGTAGTTAATTTGCTGTAACTGGACACGACATTGCTAACTTGATGAGGGGCAGGACGTAGGTGGTTGATGGAGTTACTGGCGTATGCAACTCACATAAACTTGACACACGGTGGCAGCGGGGCTTCGACATTGAAATACGGGAACATGCGACGATGGTTGTAACTTCACTAAAGTTGAATACTAAGAATGTTCTTGTACTTTACCTCAAGTATGAAAATAACGAGGTTCACCAATCCCGGATGAGAAGCCCCCATGTCAGCTCCTAACGTCTTCTGGATTGATTACATTCGTCAGTTCTTTCATACGTTGAAGCGTCGTACCATTCTAACTATCAATTAACAAACTCAACTCCTTTTGATAATAACTATAACTTTAATATCTAAGTAAATATAATAAACATCCTATCACTCCAAGGTTCCACTCAAGACTGCCGCACGGCTAAAACATACGTCACAACACTGCATAGACAATACGTCACGACTCAGCATAAAAATACGTCATAAATACAATGGCGGGAAGAGCGTTCACTAACTATAATAGTCAAGCGCGGGAAAAGCGTTCAACAACTAATGAACATAATATTGAGTCGCAACAATTCCTAATGAACGCTCATACTCGACAATAAGCTCCCATTGTCTCCTTGCAGCTACTCGCATTAGTTGAATACTTGTTTGTTGAGGAGCAGGTGGTAATTTCTTATGCATTGTCGGTGCTGTTGAACTTGCTATTTCAATATGACTTGTGATCAGGGCCGGCCCTAACAATTGCGGGGCCCTATGCGAAACGGATTGCGCGGGGCCCAGTCTGGGTAGGGATAAGGATAATAAGTGAAAATTAAGATTTTGTATTAGAAAATAAATGAGCGCGGGGCCTATGAAAGTGCGGGGCCCGCTGCGGCCGCATAGGTTGCAGTGGCTAAGGCCGGCCCTGCTTGTGATGCAAAATAGATTACAGGAATAGCAAATCCGTTCAAGTAGTTATTTTATTATTGTTATTCACTTTAAACAGTTTACTTTCCCATAATTCTCAAAATATCGCATTCTTAATCTATCAATAACATTTATTTTGACCGCACATGACACTTGAACCTTGTCCTTGTTCCATACCTGCAACATGACCGCAAACATACCGCCCTAGTCGTCTGCGACAAAAAGAATCTACAGTCGAAAAGAGGCCTTTTTCACATTCAATAAATCTTGTATTGTTAAAAGCCTGAAAATTATATAACCATTTTAATCTACACTCATTAAATTTGTTAAAATAATGCAATAAACAGTCAATTTTTAAGATTAAAATTTTAATAGAGAAAAAAAAAGATTGCTGACGTTAAATATTCTACACCCCTTTCCCCCAATCAACAAATGTCAAACATTCCCCTCCCGCCCGCCCTCTCCCCCCCCCCTATTTTGTTGACATAATTAATGGACAACCCCTATGCTCAAGACAAGAGCTCAGTTCGAACAACATGCCTACGTACAATTTGGTTTCGTACTAATTTCCGGTAGCCAATTGACTCTGTTGGCCTACATCAAGGATTCTCAAACGTTATAGTTACGGGGCCGAATCACCCTCCTATGGGTGTATAAGTGGGGGGGGGGGGCGCAATATTTCAATTTGATAATAATAAGAACGTTTTCCTAAACACACTTGCATTATTTTTTTGTTGTGGAAAAATAAAATTAAATGAACAATTTTAATCAACAAACTTATTAGTACGTCAATCGGAAGTGAGGGTCGCCTTTTGGCTAATGAAATAATCAATATCTGGTTCTACAATTGTCACTTCTGCTGGAGGGCGGATTCTGGCCCACATGCCGAAGTTTGAGGACCCCTGATGAACACAGATTAACTGATTATTTCATGGCGTTGCATGCCATCAGCGGATGGGGGATTGTTTAAGATACAATTCTAATATTGCTGCGGCTATTCGGACCCGGTTATCAGAAGTGAGTGTTTGGGTTTATTAAGAAAAATTAAAATTATTATTGTAGGGTTTGTAAGACAAAATTAGGTATCAAATGAAAGTTAATTGAATTGACCATATTTTTGTAAACTTACTTCTTCAGTTTAACTAAATAAACGACCATTTTGACATTCGAATAGCATTTTGTCTTACAGCCCAACAATAATATTTTTTTTAAATCCCAGCCTCTCAATTCTGGCAGTGCCGTCTTAAGGCATGGGCCCAGTCCCAGGGCCCCAGACGTGCAGGGGGGCCCACGTTTCTAAGAGACTCACTCTTATAGAGGCATCATGCTTTAAATATTGTTAATGAATATTGAAAGATTTTGACCATTTAATTGGATTTAAAATTCACAATTTCCCAGTTGGTGAGGAGCAGGAACTGTTTTCCCCCTCCACCAACTGTTTGAGCATGGGGCGAGTGCCCCCCTTCTCACGGCCCAGGTGTGTAGTGTTGCTAGGGGGCTCCAGTCAATTGCCGTGGCATGGACCTCCTATGTTGAAAAGACGCCCTGACTTCTGGGACCCGGGTCCGAATAGCTACTTCGTTCTAACATTGTCATCCAATGCTCAGCTGTTGAGGATTAAGCGGCTTATCTTCTTGCCTTCCGTTTAATTTTAAATGAAATTTAATTTTTTTCTTTTTAAATTAGCGTTTGTATTTTACCCCCCCCCCTAAAATAATCCCTTCCTGGGGCCATTAAAAAACACTAGATACGCCTAGAATTTGCCTTATCAAAAATCTCTGATGACGCTCGGGCAGATGAATTTTTATTGTAACTTCTGATCATGTAAAGATTACAAGCAATATTTAGCTTCCATGGAAATCTGTCACACAATTAACAAATAAAGGAAGACAGTACTCCATCTTTGTACCAGGAAAGATGCTACAGGGTGGATTGCAACCCAGATTTATCATCTTAAAAAGAACAACAAAATTGAATTTAAAAACAATTGTTTTAGTATTTTTAGGTTGTTTTTCAAATGAACTTTTCTCCTGTAATGAAGTTGACATATTTGTTAATTATGACTATGTTGCATCTATTTAGGATTTGGGGGACATTTTGTGGGGTATGTAATAAATCTTCTAATTCTATGTTTTCAAGTTCAAGAATTAATTAAATAAATATAAAAATTTGGTGCATTTTGATTGCAAAGTTTGTTATTTGTATTTTATTATACGGCTATGTTTTTTAAAATTATAATACAAATGTATATGACAGTTATCTGCAACTCTTCTGCAATGAAAAAGAGGAAGGCGGGATCATCTAAGCGTGCAGGTTCATGTAACATCGCAAGGCTTGCCAAGTGAGAACTAAAGTAGCCTCCATTTTATTCATGTATTGCATTCATTATATCCCATCCCAGCCTGTTTTTTTTATTTGTTAATCCACCAACAGATTCATGATGTTAAGCAGATTCCATAATATATCTCATAGATGTGTTATCTCATTACATATGGAAAATGGCAGCTTGTTAAATAAATGGCACATTTCTTTCTATAGCTACAAGTCTTATATTTTGAAGAAAAAAAATTCAAAAATAATCTTTTACTATCATACTTTAAACAAACAACTTCTTAAAACATTTCATTTTAATAAATCAACATATCTCATATTGCAACCATGGCAACAGTCACACTTGAAAAGAAAAGAAAATGTCCTTTAAAATAAATTTAAAAAACAAAAGAGCAACCAAAAAAAGAGCAACGAAAAAAAAAAAGTTGTCTTCCTGACAGCAAAGACCTAAATAAGAACCCAAATATCAGTGTCGAGTTTTACTATCTTTATTATTAATGATCTGCAGGGCAATACCAGTCCGATGTCCTAGCTTTTGCTGCACCAATAGGAAAGCATTAATACATCCATACACTTAGGTCTGCTGCTGACAGATTTCTCAAATCTGGCTGATTGAAATGATTTCCTCACAGCATAGTTAGTCTGGAGAGAGTAGGGAATAATTTACTTTCAAAGTGATTTACAGCTCAGTTGTGGGTGTGGGGGCATATAGGTATTACCAGTAATAGATGAATTAACCATGATCCATACAAGGAAAGGATATTTTAAAATCAAATTATGTCTATGCTGCACATTATCATTTATTTTGAAAGCCTCCATAAGAACATCAAAAAAAATATTTTTTTTAAAAACTTACACCTCAAAATAACGGGAATAAATTTTGTACATTTTTTCTCATAAATTAAAAAAAAAAAAATAATAAAAAAAAAATAGTTACCTTTATAATTAATGTTTTGAATATTTTAATAGGTATCTGACAGGTGTAATTAGGTTTGAGTTTCTTAACAACAGTTAAGTGTTTGTCATTGTGATGTTTAACAAAATAATGTAAAAGGAAGCATTCATCCAGTGATGTGTGTGACTCAAAATCCAGTGCAGTAGAGTCATTACATTTAAGGTGCTCAGTGATTATCCAAAACAATCTTATTATATTGACCTTTGAACTGTCATGATACCATCAACATTCTGTAAAAGTATGGTAGCTTAAAATATGTTGTACCATAATCAAATGTCCTGTCCAAAGTTAGAGTGAAATTTGTTTTTAAAATGTGATGGAAATTGTAAGAAATGAATCAAATTCAACTTTACAAGAATAAAAAAAAAATTCTAGTAGCAGTGAGGGCTACTCATCACTCACTGCATTCTATTAAATTGTAGTATCAATGACGGACACTGGTTATTACATTCTAATGAAAGAATAAACTATAAGATTGAGTTAAACTGATGCATGAGGCCAAAGTGGCCGTGTCCTTAGCTTTGACATAGGCTAAAGAATATTAAGTAATCATTATACACTGATGGTACACCATCTGTGTTCCCTGGTCAAGTTTACATTAAGATGCCTCATGTAATACGGTTTCAATGGCCCACTTAATTTAGAAGAGTATAGTATAATAGATCTTTTAAACACAAATTACCAAAAACTTCCATAGATTAAGTCAATAGATCAATTCTCATATTTCAATCAAGACATATACTATATAATTCTGGGGGTCTGTTATTTATGGTAAGTTTGTAAATGTCCAGCCCTGTCAGTTACATGTGTGGGGAAAAACAAAACTTCTGACCAAAAAGAAAATGAATGTCAATCATTTAAATATACTTTATATATATATATATATACATATATATAAATATTGCTCATCCTCAAGCTTCCAAAACTTGGCCTTGTTATTAACCATCAACCTGAGTTGAGAGGGAGATGATATTGACCATATATTCAACTAAATCAAGTATATAAAATAACTGAGACTTTGTTTAATTTCTTTCCCAAAAAATTCAAAGCAAAATGGAGAGAATGCATTGGTAATCCATTTTTAAAAAAAAAAAGATTATTACTTTCAATCTATATGGTCAGATTGGAGAGAGAAGGGAAAAGTCGATCACTAGTTTTTGCATAATATCACACAGAGGGGGGAACAATCACTTATATCCAGGTCAAGATTCATTTAAACAAAATTTTGCAACAGCTCAGCAAGAGAACAGTCAGCAAGTGAACATTAGCCAAGTGCTGATGGCAGCAAAGTAAACATTAGCATAGCCAAAAAGTCTTGCTGGTCAAGACCGCCAAGATAGAAGATTAACATGCCAATTCATCATTTATTCCTCACATAACAAATAAGCACTTTTCTGTAAAGAAATTCTGCAGCAGGCAAACTGGTTTAATCTAGCATTTTCAATTATAATTAAACCTAAATAATAATCTTTATACATTTGACTGTGTCAAGTTCCAATTTTGAGCTAACATTGTTTAAGTTAAATAAATATATATACCAAGACCTCACTTTACACAGATACAAGTCACTGGATTTAATCACCTTTATAAAGAATCATCCACATTCTCAATAACTAAGAAGACATCCATATTGGGTGTGAACCAATAGATAATGTGATCTCCACATCCGGCCAAAACAAGAGTAAGTTCATCATGTTTACAGAAAAAGTGTTTCAAGCCCCAGGGCTGCTGGTGTGGTAGGGTGACACAGCTGGAAAACTAATCTAAAATACATCCCTCAAAATGACATATTCAATGAGCTATTATACATGAGAAATGATCAAAAAGATGTCTTTTTGCAGGAGACATTGCCCATTAAAAAATATGTACATTTTCTTATTTTAGACACAACCCTCTCTTGCTGCTGAATGTATTATTTATTTCCACAGAAACACTCCCAAGGTTGAAATCACAAACCCAGAGAAAAATATATCCAGGTGAGAAGGCTTTGGTTTTAAGCTTAGTCCGTCCAACATTTCACAAGCAGCTCCATTTGTGAAGGCTATTGGTCCAAGAGTTTCAACATTTCACGATCATGTTCGTAAGTCATGGCTACTGGTTCACAAATTCTCCATACATTAGCACCCATTCTAAAACTGACATCCCATTGGTTTCATTCAAATGTCTATATATAAACAGCAATTGTTCCTAACTCACGCACGAACTAAATACAATGGTTTCTAGGAATTGAAATATAAAACCATTTGTTTTCCCCCAAAAATAAAACCAATTAAATAAAAGGTAAAAAAAAAAAAAAAAAAAAAAAAAGCAAATAATGCAGGGATTTATCTGAGCTAGGCAAGCTGTACAGGTCGTGATTTGGGGGCCACTACAATTAACATGAGCAGAATTCACCAAGTAAAACAGATCATCTTTTGACCATTCCAGGCCATGTGAATTCCTTGGACAACTATTCCACTAATTGTTGAGGTAGAATACTTATAAATAGCCCTCCACAGCTGGTCTGATATTCAACCTCTGTAGCAAGATCCAGCATTGCCATGATGGCTTTCTGGCTCAGTTGCAGATAACCAGAAGCCACATGTGATGGAGTCCTTGTTTTTGGCCGTTATTAAGTTGGTCTATACATTTGGTCTGTTATATTTAGTGCACTAGGCTTGCTTGATTCGCTTTCTTGGTGGGCCTAATGGTGGGCTTTGTTGACTGGCAAGTGCCCGGAAAGCTTCTGCGATGAGGTGTGGGTGAGCTTGTATCATGGACCGCCATCCCGTCGTCTCCATAACATCTGTGGCATGGCTAAAGACGATAGAGAATACATTATTAAAACATATAAGGTTGGAATATTATTTTTTAAAATTTAATTTTCCTCAGTTGGAGAGGTTTTTTTTGGTCATCTTTCCCTTCCATTTTTATAAATGTATTGCCTGTTGAAGTGGTTTTCATATCCTAAGTAATATTAAAGGAGAACTATTTTAAATGAAATGATAGGGATTGATTTATGTACTTTTGATGTTCTTTTCTATCTCATCTCCAGCAAGTTTAGTTTTGAGCAGTAGTTTAAGCTAACTAGACAATTGTCACTTAAATAGTCAGCTACCGTACATTACTCCTTATAACAGAATCATGTATAATGTGAACCCATAACTTTTTGTTTGGAAAAAAAAAAATGCAGTAAAAGGCCGTGTCCATAACATGTCTTTTTCTCCCAGGATGGTGAAATATAAGATTATGAAACAGTTAAATATAAACTTTGTCAAGACGAACAATATTTATTTTCTGGATTTAAATTCATCATACTTTATTTACAGGAATTTGTATTACCAGAGAATTAACCAATGAATAATCAATATTTACATCTAAATTGCGACCAAATTCACCATTTGAATCTATTTTTGACAAAATTGCTTATCTGACTTTAAAAAGTAATTTTCATTTAAAAGATGTGATTTATCCATTTTGGAAGGAAGTAAACATAGAATGTGAGCACAGCGAGGGGAGGACATACATATACTTTTCTTGTTAATATGTTTAAAAATAAAATGTTAATGAAAAAAAATGCTAACGCATGCATATTATGAGAATCCCTAACATTAAGAAGCATTTTTACACAAAATTTCTCACAGTATATGGGGTAGTACACGATGCATTCAACTTTTATTGTACAATTAGAACAATATTCAAGCGAATCTTGTTAAATTTATTATTTCCTTAGATGTTCCCGTGGGTACAAACTGTGCTAATGATTGGAAAAATTTCTATCCGATTATCACCCTTTTCCAATTAATATTCAATAGGTATATTTTACATTTAAGGGCTAAACATTAACGGAAAAATATATATATTAAAATAAAGGAACATTACCTATTTATAAAATCAATGGCATGAGTTTTTAACTGTTCTGCACTGTGTAGATCTGCTAAAACGAGGATGTCACAAACATTTTCTATGGTAAGATTTGAGCACAATGCTTCTTCACACATGACCTTTAATCTCTCTAGAGCATACTGGGGAAAAAACAGCAGAACTAGTATAGACAGAGACCAATAATATATCTAATATATGCTCAATAAATTAAGTATCTGCAACACTAAGAGAGTTAATTTAAGTTTGACTTAGTGTTCTTTGTTACATATGTGCTCAGATAGTTTGAAAATAAGTTAATAGTCTTTTATTATTTACACACAGTACTGACAATTGCTTTTCAACAACAACAAAAAACTTAAGAAAAACATTTTACATTGATAAGTAACATCAAAATAATTACTCTGTAGCTCAAAGTCTGTGCAAATGAATAAAACCTTACTTTATCTGCAGCTGCTAAAAGATCATCTGCCATCTTGTCTAGATTGGGGGCTTTCCCTGTATATGTGAATCTTAACATTTCTCTCATGACTTCATGGTCCACATCCTGAATATCTACTCGATTCTAGAAACAGAATAATTCATATAATTAGTGAATATAAAATTTAATATAATTGTGCATATGGTGGTTTTCTTTATTGACAAGATCTAACAAATATTCCCTGTAGTGTAAAAGAAATCTCTATTTTCCTAATTTTCTTTGATGTTTGTGTATTCTAAATTTAAGAACTCACCTGTTTACTTTCTGACATTTGATGTTCAAACATGGCATTAAAAACCGGAGATCGAGCTGAAAGACAGAACAAAACTTTAAAATTTCAGATGCTACCAATGTTAGAAAAAAATGTCTCTTAGTACTAAAACTAACAATTTTTGCAAGAACAACATAATAAATTATGTGTTTATAATTAAATGGCTTACATTATTGGTTAATTTATTGAAATTTGAGATCCTTATACCTTTAATGAACCCAAATTTTAGAAGCTATTACAAACCTGCTAAGATTGCTTTATGTGCCAAAAATTCACGACCTCCTACACAAAGAGTTACATCACTAAATGATGAACGGTCAAAAAGCTGACCCAGATCTTCACTGAGCCTGCACTCTGGAACTTTAACTGGAGTACAGTTCGACTGACCAGAAACATTTACTGTGTCACCCACCACACTAACCTAGCATTGAGAAAAATGTGAAATTGAGAGATAATATACCCAGAAATAAATTGTAACACATAGAAATCATTTGAAAATGGGGCACAATTAAAAAAAAATAGAACTTGAAACATGCTTCATGGAACATTCTGACAAAGAACATTAGTTTTAAAGAAATAATTTGAATCTGTTTTACTGCCTGAAGACACCCTTATTAAAACTGAGTGCAATGCTGACCTAATATTAATGTTTGAACAGTCAAGAAAATCTTTATTATATAGGCTAACAGTAACAATTCCTGATATTAGTTGTCACAAATCTACTGACATTTTCAAGCAACACACCGATTATAAATTAAATTTTTAACATGAAAAATAATAAAACCTTTGGATAATTTATTTTAAACCAAGATTTTCCTTGTGTTAAATTTGCATTTCACAGGATTGACAGCATTAAAAGTTTATTCTCTATGTCTGTCACCATATTTACCTAAGATTAAGATAAGTCAAGAAACACTGTTTACTGTTAAAATATTTTAATATTAAGTTTTTGTTTTACTTACTTCACAGAATATTGTAAGCTTGTCATCAGGCAATAAACCATTGGCCTCATCCATTAAGAAATCCCGGCGAATAAATTTCTTAAAGCCCCAGTCTTTTCCCTGGACAAACCTGTAAGCTCTCTGGCTCTCTGAAATAGAAAGTTAAAATAAATTAAATTTTATTTTAAAAATTGAGAATTACATTAAAAACATAAAAAACTTAATCAAATAATTAAACAGATAATAAGGAAACCAATAAAAGAAAGCAGTCATGTATACATTAAAGACTGTCTATTGTTACCGTATCACTGTTTATTCGAATAAGCCTTTTTGTAGAATCAAATGACAGTTTCAAAATCATAATATGCATGTACAATTTTCATAATTTATTACAATTGTTGGTTAATAGACTCAATTTCCAGTGGAAAAATGTGATCACAGTGAACTGTACCAACTATATACATAATTATGTGATGCATTTTGTAAATAAAATTTTTTGAAACATAACTTAAGTTGGTAATTATTTAAGACAAATTAAAATTGAAACAAGTAAGATCCAGTTGTTTTTTTACACTAATATAACTGATAGTTGAATTATCATTTCAAAACCTCCTCTCTTACCCATTGCTTTGGTCTCTTCTCGCTTTGCATTTAATATGGAGAATTTGAACTTGGCTCGAACTTCACTTTTGTTGCATGAAACTAATAAAAGGTATAAAGAAAGGTAATCTTTGCTCTCCTCATCCAAACCTTTGGGATTCACTCTTAAGCACCTAAAAGTAAAAGAATTATTTATTAAAATGTTGTATAATCTCATAAACGAAGAAGCAAGATGGGAAAAGCTTTACCCAGTTAAGCACATTCAAGTTCTAGAAATATTAATTTACCCAAAAGTTTTAAAATACAATAAAAAATCATAACCTTTGCAAGCTTTTGGTTCAATGTCTCATTTGTTAATTTTTTTTTCCATTTATTATTAAATGTTAATGAAATTTTCATTAAGCAATCTTGACAAACTACCAATCAAAACCCACACCCACAAAAAATTTACAAATACTACAATAGTGAAATTTATTATAATAGGTCATTGCTTCGTGCATTATCTTAGATTACATTATTTTAATGTTATTTTATATATACCCTCATGCATATCACATAATCAGTCATTTTATGAAACCCTATAATTGTCAAGTGCATTTTGATATGCTTGTCTAAAATAATAAATCACATAAAAATTAATTTAAAGACTCTAAAAAGGATTCATTTTCTGAAAGTACATACAAATGCATGGTTATATGTGCCTATTTTTGCAAAATGCAATTCTTTATGAATTTTGTCATACACTTCCTTTAAATTTCTTTCATACAAAATACGAGGTAAAAAACAAAATGATTTTAAAAACTTATTGCATTTAAATTAAATTGTTTTAATCAATTTTCTATTATATTAATACTCAAGTTCGTAGACAACCACAAATGTCTTTGACTCTCTTTAGACTAAGGCTTTGTCTTTTCTGTTTAATTTCCACCCTTTCCTAACCGAATCAGTCAGTCACATTATGACTAAGCTTAGGGCTAAAATTGTCTAAATCTGACCCTTATGTCGTTATCATCGCTAGTGCTAAAACTGCAATTACCATGATGCTATCTATTTGATTTCAATTTTATCAAATATGCTTGGAAATTATTCCAGTAAAAAGCTGTATGTTGATTTTGCAAGCCAGAAGGACCCTTTCCAACATCTGACATAAAGGAAGTTTAAAAATTTTCCAAAATTGTACAGCAAAAGCCTTGATAAAAGCATGTTAACACATAGTTACAAACTGAAGCTGGAAAAAAATAATTTATATGGAGTGATCTCCCATATGCAAACATAAATTAAATCATTCACTTTTTAAACGATGATTATACTAGTGGCCAATTATATTAGGCATTACACCACATAATGAGAAGACATTTTTAGGGTAAATGACATATTTTGATTTACTACTAACCACTTCAGCTTGTCATTCGCGCCTGCAGAAAATGTTGAACTCTTTAAAACTTCACCCATTTCTTCTCTACAAAAACTGAAATTGTTGATGGTCCAAATGTAGGAGAATTTTATTACCTTAACCTGTTAATTAAAAAAGTTCACAGATTATAAACTCAGTAAATCAATTCAGCTAAGTAATGCTCTCTTATTACTTAATTTGTTAAGAAAAATCATATAGGTTAAGTCTTATAGTCTAATATAAGCCTGAGTCTAAGGTAGGTTCATAAAATACTAGGGCCTAATTAAAATGAATTCATGTTTAATTTAGACTTTAGACCAAACATTTTTATAATTCTAAGAAAAATCAACCTGTGTATAACACCAGTTATCTGCCACTGGACAGGACACATCAGGAGGAGGCGGTGTTGGTACTCTACACACCGCCATCCTCGAATTGTCAGGAGATGATGATGTTTCGTTATCACCTTGGTCCGCCAGTTTGACGGTTTCAGTGAACACAGCCCAAATAGAAAAAAAATGTGTCAAGAGGAATTTCTGAAATATAAAGTCATTAGTTATTAAAATCAAAATTTTAAATAGTGATTTCATAATCAAGATCACAATGTATATACACACTTTATTTATGTGTAGAAAAGAAAAACAAATTGTTTTAAAATACATTTTATCAATAAATGACATGAAATTTAATTGATGACAATATTACAGTTTACACAATTCTGGCATGGGCATAGCATAGCAGTTTTTACATGGTACAAACTTCGTAATAAACAATTATCAGAATTTATCAATAGGCTTTACTTTGAATAGTTAGTAAAGTAGTAAAGTTAGAAGTTATGCCTAAGCAAGCCTAAACTTAAAAATTTCCTAAATCCTAAAATTGAAAAGAACCACCAAGATCCTAACTGGTGGTGTATTCTGGAATTATAAATTAGATACAACTACCCAAATATTATGGCTTGATATTTATTTATATGAATGGGTGGAAAAACAGTCAGTTTTTTGTTTTTTTTAAAGTTAAAGAAATACTTCTTCTGGCCCACTACTCAACTCACTACCTACTGCATTATTGGGCTTGGGCCCAAATCACAACCTAAAAATTAGCAGTAGGTCTAGACCTAATTAATGGACTACAAATGTTGTTGAATACAGTTACTGTTACAAGTCTCAAAAGGCCACTATACTTAATATAAAAGTAATGTTCAACAAAACTTCACCAAGACTTTCTGATTCTCCGGCGAGGTTTCATTTCCCCTTTCACTTTAATTTATGTTAGTTGGCAATTTATAATAAAGCTTGACTTTAGATTTATAAAAGAGTAACAGGTGAATATTTATGTACCTCTGTCCACTTAATTTATCATGGTGAGACTAATCACATCGCCATTTTAAGTGTAAAAGTTGAAAATTTCTAACATAAACAGTGAATGAATAATGAACCAAAAAGTGCAGATCTCGTCTCGATACTTTTACGCAGCCGCAGTACACAAATGTCACACTTTCTGAACGAGGCTTTGACCTATATAATCTCCAAACATCTTGCTAACTAACAAGTTCAAGCTGAGAGCTCTTGTCGGATCGATTTTGTTTGCACGAAAATGCATTTATCAAGAATTAATGATGATTAATATGCTTTAAAGGGATATTTTAATTATTCAAAATAATAACATAACATAAAATTAATTGAAGTGCTATTGCATACAATCCAACAAGCTTACGAATGTCATTCCCAAATCGACAGCAACCCAAAATTATCCGACGATTACAGTTACAGTTACAGCTAGTCCTACAATAATAATTAAAACTTTTAGTCTATACTATGTTGTTAAAAGAACTGTACCGGTATAGACATATATTTAAATCAAAATTATTAATTAAATAAACTATATTAATAGCAGGTCTGAGCCAGGTACTGACCCGGATACCCGAAAATACCGGGTATTAGCCCACCCGACACATAACCGGGTCATGGTGACATGGTGTTTTAAAAAATAGTTAATTCTCATTTTATATAATTTATAATATAATATAATGTGTTCCAAACAATGGATAGAACTATAGAACCAGTACTTCTTGCTTACATAAGGATTTGTACATTTCATCTGAACTAATTAATGTTTCTAATAATGATAGAAAACTGGCTAGCTATATAGGGGATAATAAGGGCAAAACTAAATGTAAGATGGTGAACTTAAAAAGCTTTGAAAATCATAATTTGCTCGCTTCGAATTTTGTGTAATTTGTAATTATTTGTATCAGCGAGATGCATATCTTTGGTTATGACCGTGACACACTTTCTATTTAAAATTAATAATTCAATTCGCATGCAGACTGGGTGATGATACTGAGTAGCCACAGTTGTTGTTTTTTTTTGGTTGTTTTTTTATTTTTGTAGAATTTTTTTTTTTTTTTTTTTTTTTTGGTTAGGGTTGGGGCTGCCATTTTTAGATTCTTTTTTACAATTCAATAATAGTAATGTAATGTAACATTTTTTTTTTTTTTTTTTTTTTTTTTTTTTTTTTTATATTTTTTTTTTTTTTTTTTTTTTTTGGTTAGGGTTGGGGCTGCCATTTCTAGATTCTGTTATACAATTCAATAATAGTAATGTAATGTAACATTTTAACACTCACTCATTTAATAAGTGAAGCAAATGACTCAAAGGAAATGGGAGTAAAGGGTTAGGGAGAGGGGTAGTATCGCCATGATGATGATGGGCTTAAAAATATTTATTAAAATGATATACGTACGTTTGTATCATAAAAATGAAAAGAGCGACCAGCAACACTAACTCATTTGGCCAAACTCCGCTCCATGTTAGTATTACGAGTTTCTTTTGTTACGATACTTGCTACAATACAGTTACATTTAAAAAAAAAAAAAGTATGGTTCATTCCGCAGATGTCAGCAGCTAATTTAATTTAAATTGGGCTACCAGCTGTCCGTATAATTAAGTACGGACAGTTTGTATTTTCGTCCGTACTAATTTTTGCGTTCGTATTTTTCCGTACTTTCCTCTTGTCCGGCTTGTCCGTACTTTTGGAAGCGGCGACTTGCTTGTCTTATTTTCATTTGTCTTATCTTATTTCTCCGCAAAGGCAAGCGCAGTGAATATTTTCAGCTCCGTCTGATGGTCCAAAAATAGCATATTTATATCTCCGATGCTGTAAAAATATCACGCAATGTTGTGTAGGAATCATCGTCATAATATTGCCATTTCTTTTCACAAACGAACTCGCTAAATATGGCGTCAATAGTACTCAGGAGCAATGTTCCCTTTAAGCTGCGCGGCCGCGCAGCAATCTCACAGACGCCGCGCAGCAATTTTGAGTACCGCGCAGCTAATTTCCACTTAAGTGTGGGTCTGTCTGTGTCTGTAGGCTGTAAAATTTTGCACGCAAAAAAAAAAGATGCTGAAAAAATTTGCACACAGCTTTATGATTTTGCACACGACCCAACAAACCTTAGAGGGAACATTGCTCGGTAGTAGCAATATTACTACAGCAATATTTCTTCCACCGTATCTTCATTGTAAAAGTTCAGTTGTTCATATTACTATAATGTTTCGATTCCCGGCGCTTATGCCAAATTAAAGTTTTCACCATTCTTTTGCTGCCCTCTCCGATACTACTTTTCATTTTTTTTTTTTCTATCGGGGAAATGCTGCACGTGGCGCGAAGCCGGAAAATTGTACCACTTAATACATCGAAAAAGTGCCTGGGGCGGATCAGGAAAAAGGCGATATTTGCCACCCCTCTCGTCTTTCTGAAGTATATGGGATTTGATAATTTAATTCACTGTTAAGATCCTATCTAAAGAAGATTTTGAAGCCCGCTGGTACTGCCCTCTTTGCCTCATTCTCATTGCTCTGCCCGAGGGCAACATGACACCCAGAGCGACGTATATTATGGGGACCACTGGGCCGAGGAAACAGTCGGCGGTATAAACCCGCGACCCTTTTTTTAATTTCTGTGACGCCACCACTATGGGGATGGCGGCTAAAAGCTTCGTGTCCGTATCAGTTGGGGGGGGGGGGGGCCCGAAAAAGCAAAAAAACCCCCCCCCCCCCCACCGCATTTAACATCAAGAAAATCTGGTAAACTTAATTAAAATAATTTGTCAGTTTCTCATAATTTTTATTAAAAAAATACTAAATATGATTTTTTTTTTTTTGCCCCCCCCCCCCACCTTTTCTTTGTTTCATTTTTTTGGGCATTAACTAAATATAAAAGTTGGCAGCTTCCAGACAAAATTATATTCAGATGTGTGAACTTTAAAAAAATAAATAAATAAACTTTGGATTGACATATAGAGCCCCTTCTACAGAACAACCCAACAACCCTTCGTATCCTTTATTTCGGCTTCCACCCATCCACGCTCAAGATCACAGCACCAAAACCTTTTTATCTACTAAAAAAAAGCTCTACGTGTTTTTCAATCTCTCGGTATAGTTGATAAGTCTGGTAATGGGTCGCCACAACCTTGCAAATGTTATAGCTTATCCATGGGCGCCCGCAGAAAACTTTCTCGGGGGGCGGGGGGGGGGCAAAAAAATCGATTAACTTTCCAGGGGGGGGGGAAACAATTTTTAGTAATGTTTTAATGTAGTTTTAATTTACTATAGCGTATTTGTAAAAAATCGATTAACTTTCCAGGGGGGGGGGAAACAATTTTTAGTAATGTTTTAATGTAGTTTTAATTTACTGTAGCGTATTTGTATAGTGAACGAACGGACAGGACATCAGCTTAGTTACTTTCTCTTTATTTTCTCTTTACTTTAATACATTTTTTGTCTAATTTTTTTTTATCCAATCAATCCAGGGGGGGAAAGTGACCCTCTTCCCCCCACCCCCCCCCCTTGCGGGCGGCCATGCTTCTTGGTTAAAGCAATATTTTCAGAGACGCACAATCAATAAAAAAAATAGGGTTACTGGACATGTTAACGACTGAGGATCATAGTTTCTGGGACAGAATTATTAAAAATACATGTTCTTCCTGACATGCGCATTGACAACATACTTTAAAAGAATAATATGCATTTTAATTGAGTAACCAATGTAAACTTTCGATATTTCATCTTCGTGATTAATCAAAGGCGGCTGCGATTTTATTTTCCCAGAGGAACACTAATTGGTTCTAAGGGTTACCGTTCTAAGTTATAAAATGGCAGAAGCAGATCCAGTAACCCTAGTAAGTACCAAGCAATATTACATAAATTTAATTTAACTAGGCGTAGGGCGGTCGTAGGGCTAGGGGCTAGGGCCTAAGCACTAAGCCTAAGCACTAAGCCTAAGCCCTGTCACTGTCCTATTCAATCATATTCACATTAATATTCTATTAAAATTACTATTACTATGATTTTGATTATCTTTGTATTTTTATTTATTATTTAGCATTATTAGTAATTAGTTTAGTAATACTATTATTATTTTAGTATTAGTATTACTATTAATTAGTTTAGCATTTATGATTTCTCATTTACTGATTTATTTTGGCCACAGGGCAAATGAAAGATAATTGTATGTATGGACTAGGCCTATTAATATATGTAATTTTATTTTATGTTTGTAGTGGCTACGGCTATGCTTACCTGGGTCCCTTTAACTTTAGTCTAAATGCTATTCAGATGTCATTTGTGGTAGTTTATTTTAGTTAAACTGAAGAAGTAAGCTTACAAACATATATTATCTTTCATTTGATACCAAATATTGTCCTACAATAATATTTTAAATATTTTTTAATAAACCCAACCTCTCACTTCTGATACCCGGGTCCGAATAGCCGCAGCCTAATAATAGACATAGAAATAGTGTAATAGTCCTTTTTACAGGATCCTGAGTAAAGTAACTTACTTTAAATATAAATATATAATGATAATGATTTATTTAATCTTTTTATAATTTATAATTTATAGTGCAAATTAAAAATTAAAAAATCCACATTTATTCATTTAAAGAGCCACATGCATCATCAGGTTGCTGACCACTAGGCCATTACATAAATATTTTTAAAAAGTTGTGCATAAGAAGCCATGGTTGTACCTGTTCAGTGTGAATAGCTATATGGTTTATCTGTGTCAGTCATTAGTTTCTGTACATTTTAACCACCAAAAAAACAGCATTGTATTCTCAAAATTGACTTATCACTGAGATTTATGGGTGTAACAAATTTTTTGATGTGAAGGAGCTTTAAGGTTATAGCATTGTTATTATGCTCTTTTTTTAGTTGGTCCATCCAATTTTTTACTAAATGAACTTTGATTAATAATTAAATGTTGTGATCATCTTACATGTAAGATTGATAGTTGCAATGTAAAAATTAAATGATTTATTGTTTCTCTATAGGCCAAAATTAACTATTATTGCCAAGCTGGCTACTTTGGGCACATGGAAGCATCAGCAACAGAAGGTCTTCAACGCTATGGAAATGATCCCATCCTTAAATTCTTTGTGGCTTTCGCAAAAGTTTTGCAAAGTGAGTTTTGAAAACCTGAGATAAGTTGTTTCATTCTTACAAATGACATACACATTGACTGCTCTATGGACCAAAAACAAATTTTATGTATTTCAAAATTTTATTGAGGTAATTTAAATTTTACAATTTTTAATGATTGTGGAATGAATAATCTCTGGACTAATTTTAAAACATTAAACCAAACTACTTCTTTTCATCCATTCAACCAGATCGAGTTCAGGAAGGAATGAGAGAACTGGAAGTTCTGAAAGACAAGCGAGATGTGAATCTCTGTGCTACAATGGCTCTTATGTTGGCTCACAGAAAATCGCAGACCATGGGTAAAATTTTTCTTTGTATACACTTTGATTAAGCTTCCATTTTTGTCAGTTTGTCTGGGTAGAACCTTGTAACTTAATTTTGACCCACATCCTGATGTTCAACTGAGCTAAAAATTTGTTCACTTACACACCCCTGATGACATACAAACCTTCATGATCAGATTTTATTGAGCTAATTTAAATTTTACAATTTTTTTCATGATTGTGGAATGAATGAATTTACCACTGACCCATGTGTGACGTCTGCAGGACAAATCTTGCATCTCCATTGTGACCCACTTCCTGATATACCAATTCAGCTGAAGCTTGTAAACTTTGACTAAAAAAGCACAAAATAAAGCAATATAAAATAAATATAAATAAAACAATATAAAATTTAAAAAAAATATTTGAAAAAGCAAACTTTTCCAAAAATATACTAGAGTTGTTATAGTTTTATGACTAAAAAAGTTCGTGCTGTCCATTAGTTATGTTACCTATGGTTAAATCTTGCATCTCAATTTTGAACCACATCCTGATCTCCATTTAAGCATAAACAAATAAAAATTAAGTTCATGGGCACCCCACGCTTTTTTTATCATAATTCTCTGAACAGTCTGAAGTTTTGGGGAACGTCTATTTTATAAATTTTAGTACATTTTTGGAAAAGATCGTTTTTTAACTGTATTTTTAATGTTGTTTTATTACTTTATAATAACTACATTTTGGTGATATATTGAGTTGGTATCACAGTCCATAGCTTATATCTCCAATGGATACTTGATTAAACTAATATTAAAAAATATGCAGTTAATTAAATTTTCAAATGAGAAGGAATGACAAATATGTTATTATTTCTTTTAAACAACAGTGAAGTAAACAGAACTTAGCTGTGTATAGGAAATAATTCCCCATTTTTCATCTTAAGTTATTAAAAACTTGGTACTTATAACAGTTTTTTTTATGAAAGTTTCAATAAGTTCTGATTTTGGAAAGCAATATAATAGACTAGGCATTTATGCCTTTTAACATGATAAAGGGTATGTGGGTAAACAAAAAGAAGTCCATTGTTATACTATAAAATCACTGTCCTTTTCCTGGAATGGCCTCTATGGAGACATGTTTCTCAAAATGTATTCCTAAAGTGGCTTTAACTATTGCTGCACTTAGCCAAAGGGCTGTGTAAATTTAACATGTTTTCACATTCAGTAACTTATTTTGAAACCATCTGTAAATAATTTTATGTTATTAACCTTTTTTTACACTTTGTGCTCGTGTGTGTATGTGTGCAATGAACAGACAGAGAAGCTGTGCAAGTTTTGGATGCTAAACTGAAAGAAGAAAGAAAACAAGCAGGAGAGCTGGTGAGATATGTTGTACAGTTTAAAATATTATTTCATATAGATACATCTGTTTGCTTTGTGTTTTATATTTAGTTGAAAAAATATGTTAAAAACCAATGCTATAATTATAATAAATTTAATGAATTTTACTAAAGGAGTATCTTTAAAAGTGGGGATAATATGGGAGCAATTTCTTTAAAAAACATAATTAAATAATTATGATAGCATTTTCTCTTTAAATTTATTGCTTTGGTGATACTCATCCTGAATGGTCAAATATAAAGATTTAACTGAGCCACCATCATGAAATGATATACTTTCTCATAGGGCCTTTATTTTGCTGGACTATTTTTGTTCAACACCGGCAAGTATGAGAAAGCGAGGGAGTATATTGACAGAATGTTGAAGATGGCACCACAGAACCAAGATGTAAGTATGCAGACATGAATGGATGTGTTAATAGACTAAAAGGACAGATGTGTCATTTAGACTAAAAGGACAGATGTGTCATGAAGACTAAAAGGACAGATGTGTCATGTAGACTAAAAGGACAGATGTGCCATGGAGACTACTGCTACTGAAAGATAGTCTTATAGGAAAAATCTAAGTAATTAGGCTCTGGTCAATGCTGCAATATAATTAATTCCTTCTGATTAATGAAGCTGAAATTTTTATGGAGCACTCATGTTGTAAACCTAACTACACATCAAGTTTTTTTTGTGTTTTTAATTTTTTTTTTTAACATTTGAAAAGTAAAAGAAACAGGTCATAAGAAATTAAAATTTTATTTTATTTTGCAAAAAAATTTGTTCTTTTTGTCATCATTTAAAATCATAAAACCGCTCATTTTATTGAAACCACAATTTCCAGGTTTTGACTAAACAATTGGTATGCATTTATATGTTTACAATGTTGAAAGTTTTTATAACTTTTAAAATTATTAAATTTTTTTTAATGAGTTGAATTTTGTTATTTTACTTAATAACTTCTATAATTATTTTCCCTGCAAATCACTAGATCCTTAACCTGTTTTAGAAGTTAAATTCTGTACACCAAAAAAAAAAATGTCTGTATTGCCTAATTTTGTTCAAATCTATCAAATATAGACTATTTAATTAACTCATTGTTGTCTCTTTTTGCTGTGAACCAGTGTATAACCATTTACAGATAGCTTTCATTGAGACCTAGAAAGCTATTTTCTTGAATAAATTTTAGATTATTTCTCTCAACAGACATTCTCATTAAATATTTTATTATTGTACATGAGATTTGTGATGAACAAAGTCTTCATTTAGATATGAACTAAAATTGTGCAAAAAAAAGGACACATCAAATATTCCTCTATCTTTTCATCAGGGACTCACAATGAAAGGTTGGATTGAAATTATGAGTGGTCGAGAAGCAAAGAGGGCTTTCAAGTTTTTTGAGGAGGCGCTTGCGTAAGTGGCAAAACTATTTTTTTTAAAACAGAATTTAAAAAAAAATAACTTTTTAGAAAAATAAATATAGACTCTACTGATGTAAAAATAAAGGGAAATTGGATTTAAGAGTTTTGATTGTTTAAAAATTAATATTATGATTCTTGTTTTTAATATAGTACTCAATTTTTATCATTTCAAATTATTAATCTCAGCTCTTTCTCCATAATGTTCACAGCAACGGTTCAAGAAATGTGAACGCCCTTTTTGGCAAGGCCAAATTTTTTGAGCTCAAACACAATTACAGTGGGGCATTAGAAGTAATCAACCAGGTGGTGGTCAGTCAGCCCAATTTTCTGCCAGCTTTTGTGGAAAAAATGAAACTTCAGCTTGCTCTTCAAGACTGGGACCAGACCCTTGAAACTGCCCTGAGGTAAGTGTATCTGTTCATTGACCCCTCAACTTAGTCATTGTTTTAGTTATTCTAATCTCCTTTTTCTCATCTCCATTCAGTGTTACCAACAAAGCTTTGGTTCTCTTCTCTATTCAGTTTTACCAACAAGGTTTTGGTTCTTTTTTTATCATGTTTAATGTGAAGCTCCAATAAAGCCATTCACTTATATTTGACCATTCTATTAATGACATTTTTGTTTATGTTGTATTCTTGTTTTTGTGTTTCAATAATTGAGACTTCATGCAATATCTGGTACTTATTGTGGTGATATATCTACCAGTCATGAGCTGAAACTCAACAGCTTCCATCAAAGATGTCTGCGTCACATTTTAGGCATTCAATAGTAGGACAAGGAGCCTGACTTAGAGGTCTTGGAACGTGCAAAAATGTGTAGCATATTCTCCGCTCTTAGCAATAATAATAATAACAATAATATAGTTTATTTGAAAAACACGCTTCATCCCCAAAAGCTCGAAGCGCTGTACAAAGTCAACCATATTAAAAAGAGAAATAAAAATAATCTAAAATTTACCACATTTAAAAACAGACGCAACAATATAAAGCTACATACGAGCATACCCAGTCAAAGTCTTTCATCCCGTTTCAACCATAAGCAACACAAGCCAATATACATTAACTGAAAAAGATGGTAGATAGCTTCACCCCAGAAGGTGTTTGTGAAATAGATGTGTTTTTAAATCGGTTTTAAAGGACTCCAGTGTCTGGCTGTTTCTGAGAGCGACTGGAAGTGCGTTCCAAATTGTTGGGCCGGAAAATGCAAAAGTGCGCTTTCCGTAAGTCTCAAGGCGAACACACAGTATCAATATTTTGCCACTATCGGATGAGCGGAGCTCTCTAGTGGGTACATGAGTGCTTTGAGATAAGATGGTGCCAGGTCATGTAAGCAGCGGTAGCACAAAGTTGCAATTTTGTACTCTATGCTAGCGCGGACCGGCAGCCAGTGCAGCTCCCTCAGAAGTGTTTTAGCATGGTCGAATTTGCGTTTGCGAAGAACAATGCGAGCTGCTTTATTCTGTGCTCTTTGAATTTTATCCAGGAGCGTAGCTGGGAGACCCACCATGAGAGCATTGCAGTAGTCCATGTGTGATAACACAAATGCAGACATCAGCCTTCGCTGGTTAGGCAGTGTAAGGAGAATGGAGGAAGGCCTTATTTCAAAGAAGCTGCTGTAAGGAGAGTTGGCAGAAGGGACAAGACTTATTGGACGATAGCAGGTGCGATTTTTGGACGCTTGCAAAAGGAGCATGAGGGAAGCCAAGATTGAAATCAACGGATGGGAGATCATTGCTGAACAACAATGCAGCTTGCAAACAGCAGTTTATGATGGAGTAAAAACAGGCAGAAGACGAGTGAAACGAAGCCCTTAAAAAAAAAAGAACAATACGGAAGGTCAAAGCTAACCAGGAGTCAATATTCTCCTTCGAGAAATGCAACTGAGATTACCATTCCAACATCGGTCTTGTGAGCCATTTTTTGAAGTGTACATAGCTACTCCATTGTATTGCAAAGATGGAAGGATGCCATATATATTGTGGTGACTGCCTTATCCATTTCCTGCGTTTTTGTTGCTCTGCTGTTTCGTTTTACCAAAGTTTTGTGCCAATTTAGCACATTAGGTTGGTCTCTTGTTTGCTAATCACTTATATCTTCAACTTTTTTTTTTTTGTACCCTTCAAACAAGTAAAATGGCTTGCTATCTTTGTGCTGCTGTGTCTTATCAATCTCCATTGTCAAGTAATTTTGTATTCCTTCTGTAGAATTTTCTTCTTTTTTTTTGTTTTTTGTTTGTCAATCCCTTGCTTTGTATCTTATAAATCTTTTGAGATCAGTTGCATCATATTATTTGTTTTAAGTAAATACTCCATAAGCCATTAAATAAACAACCGAAATGCAACCCATTTTCCATTTTGTTTTATTTATTTTGTTGATCTGAGTTCCATGATTATCTGATTAACTGACTTAAATTGGCCAGTATTTGGTTTTTGTTTCAGAGCAGAGAAAGTTGACATTCACTGTGTTGAGGCCATGGAGTACCAAATAGTTCATGCACTCTGTAGGGACGGCAACTATGCAGAGGTAAAGAAGTTACGGTGGCGACTCATCTTTGTCATCATTACCTGAATAGAATTCCCAATTCTCCGTTTGAAAGTGTTACAGTGGTGCATATCAGTTTCAGCTTGCATGTCTTCTTGGGGCATTAAATCCATTCATTAATATAAGTAAAAGCATTGCAAAGAGAATGATCCTTAATGGTATTCTTTTTTCTTCTAAGCTTACTTGATTTAGTCAAGAAAATTGGATCAAAATTGTTGAGGTAATGGTGTGTGTGTGTTGGGGGGGGGGAGGAGGAGACCCCCGGACATGGGAGTTGGTGGGGGGGGGGAGGCACACAAAGAAACATGTTTTTTCAGGTATGTATATAACTATTATAACATTTCTAGAGAGCGGGCACAATGAACATAACATGTCACATGAGGGGGCACTACAAACATAACATCACATTAGGGGGCACAAACATAACATGTCACATGGGGGGGGCACAAACAAACATAACATGTCACGTCAAGGGGAGCACAAAAAAACAAACATAACATGTCACATGGGGGGGGGGCACAAACAAACATAACATGTCACATCAAGGGGAGCACAAACAAACAAACATAACATGTCACATCAACTTTTTTTTACCTTCACCCAGGCAGCTTCCAAGATAGCAGATCTGATTACCTCCCTTGACAGAGTTGAATCTCAAAGTGGCCAGTTGTACCTGCATATGGCACAAGTCTTTTCGAAACTGGTGGGTCCATCTTAATAAATTTATTAAATTGTCTAAAATCTCTGATACTCACATTTTCAGAGTGACAGACTGGCAGGAATTAAACCCTATTGCGTCTGTGACACAGGGTCTCCATTTCTTACTTTTCCGTCTAACTCAATGTTAGAAGAATGACTGTGATTCACTGACTCCTGGTTGTTGTTTTTTTATATCATGGGGGCCTACTGTCTGGAAAAGGTTGTGAACCACTTTTAGGAGACATTTTATGTTTCATGACAGGTTTAATGATAAATAAAAAAATAATGGAATTTTAAAATCTATTTATATCCTGATCAATGCTTTAAAACTGTTGAGACTTGTAACATTCTTCTTTAAAAGAACTAGAATTCCTTTATTGTAGTGAAAGTAATATTACAATACAAACATATAACGTATGAACTAACCATGTAATGATCAGGTGTAATGTAGTCTCTTTGATGGCTAATGATTCTCAATTAAATACCGATGTCCCGTAGCACATCATTATACATTGTCATCGTTTCACTTCTGATTAAATAAGATTTGATTCTAGGTTGAAGCAATCTGTGCCCATCCCTTTTTATGGTTATTATTTTAAGTTTTTGGTATTTTTTCCAACAAAAATTATTATTTTAAAATTTTGGCACAACTTAAATTAAATTGTAGAATATTGACACACAATTTTTGTTTAAATGTCATAAAATGTAAGAAAAATAATATATAGTTATTTATGTAATTTTGCTGGATCTTATTTAGTAGCACTACAACCTCTACAAATTAAATATCCATGCCTCTCTTTGTTTGTTAGTGTGGCAGGAACCACCTGGTCCTACAGCAGACTCAAGTCTTGATAGAGAGAGCTGTGTCACTGGACGGCAACAATGCAGACTTTGTCAATGAGATGGGTTATCAGCTGATGATGCAAGGAAAGGTAATGATGGCAAGACTCAAGCACACCTCTCTTGGTGTGAGCGCATCTCCTAAAGGGTTTGAATGAATCTGTTTTTTTAGATTCTACTGTTTTGGCTGATCTGCAAACATTTTGTGTAATTATTCAGATTCCCTTTGAGTGATTGACAAATAGTAGATTTAGGAGGGGTCAGACAAAAATCTCCACTCAAAACACTGCCACTTTGCTTAGTATATACACAGTATTGGGACTTAGGGAAAACTAGCCAATGAGAAAAGAGCAAGGACGGAAACAAAAACGCAGTTTGAATGATCAGCAGTTGATCCCCATTATTTATGTAAGAAGATTGAACAGAAAACGTTTATGTTTAAATGAAGATTTATAGTGTGATAACACTCACTTCTACAGAGAAGCTAGTATTGAAATACTTATGATACATTCCAAGTGTCTTCGGATTTTATGTTTTCGGCATGAGATATAGACGTATTTCATATTGACTATTATTATTATTATTGTGATCGTCACCGTGTGTAATAAAGTATTAGTCGCCATCATTTGAACCACTACGCCTCTGTTATAATTCATAAGACATTGTGATTGTGACACAGGAGGACAATAGATTTTTGGTACACTCTGCTTAGGTAGTTTACATTTATCTTCATTTGTGTGGCCAGGTGAAAGAAGCCATGAAATGCCACAGAAATGCCATGCAGCTGGATGAAACAAGTGTTTTAGCTCTAACTGGCATCATCAGCTGTCAGCTCCTGCAGGGCCACATTGACGAGGCTGCTCAGCAGCTGGAGTTTCTCAATGAGATTCAGCAATCTATTGGACGTTCAGCCGTAAGAATGCTTTGAAAATATTTTAAAAAATGGATAGTTTGTATGACCAAAAATAAATTATTTCCACATCAGAGAGCAATTCCTCATCGATTTAATTTTCTGAGTGTAGTGGATTAATGAAAAGGATTTATGCCTACATTTTTGTATTGATACATCTAGGAACTGGCATACCTCTCCGCTGTTTTGGCCATGAAGAAAGGAAAAGGACCAGATAAAGCTATGGAATTATTAAATGAGGCAATAGAACTGCACTTTGCTGGACTCAAGGTAATTTCTAGTTAAATGTTTCAAAACTTTGATGATTGCAGGAAAAACTTCTTTAAAAAAAGTGTTCGGATGATTGCTTTATGTCACTTAAAAACCTGAGCGTGTTATCAATAATTGCTTTTCATGTTGATTTTTAAAAAACTATATCACCTTTATGAAAATGCGGTTTTGTGACAAATTCAGTTCATCAGCTGTATTACTTTCATTAAATAATAGTTACAAGAATTTATGTAATTCTTGTTTAAAAATTTATGTAATTCTTGTTTAAGAATTTATGTATTTCTTGTTTCAGAATTTATGTAATTCTTGTTTAAGAATTTATGTAATTCTTGTTTAAGAATTTATGTAATTCCTGTTTAAGAATTTATGTAATTCTTGTTTTAGAATTTATGTAATTCTTGTTTAAGAATTTATGTAATTCTTGTTTAAGAATTTATGTAATTGATAATTAAGAATTTATGTAATTCTTGTTTAAGAATTTATGTAATTCTTGTTTCAGAATTTATGTAATTCTTGTTTAAGAATTTATGTAATTCTTGTTTAAGAATTTATGTAATTCCTGTTTAAGAATTTATGTAATTCTTGTTTTAGAATTTATGTAATTCTTGTTTAAGAATTTATGTAATTCTTGTTTAAGAATTTATGTAATTGATAATTAAGAATTTATGTAATTCTTGTTTAAGAATTTATGTAATTCTTGTTTAAGAATTTATGTAATTCTTGTTTAAGAATTTATGTAATTCTTGTTTAAGAATTTATGTAATTCTTGTTTAAGAATTTATGTGATTCCTGTTTAAGAATTTATGTAATTGATAATTAAGAATTTATTTAAATCCTCTTTAAGAATTTATGTAAATCTTGTTTAAGAATTTATGTAAATCTTGTTTCAGAATTTATGTAATTCCTGTTTAAGAATTTATGTAATTCGTGTTTAAGGAATTATGTAATTCTTGTTTCAGATTTTATGTAATTGGTGTTTAAGAATTTATGTAATTCTTGTTTAAGAATTTATGTAATTCGTGTTTAAGAATTTATTTAATTCTTTTTTAAGAATTTATGTTATTCTTGTTTAAGAATTTATGTAATTCTTGTTTAAGAATTTATGTAATTTATAATTAAGAATTTATGTAATTCCTGTTTAAGAATTTATGTAATTCTTGTTTAAGAATTTATGTAATTCTTGTTTAAGAATTTATGTAATTCTTGTTTAAGAATTTATGTAAATCTTGTTTAAGAATTTATGTAATTCTTGTTTAAGAATTTATGTAATTCTTGTTGCAGAATTTATGTAATTCCTGTTTAAGAATTTATGTAATTCTTATTTAAGATGTAATTCCTATTTAAGAATTCATGTAATTCCTGTTTGAGAATTTATGTAATTCTTGTTTTAAAAGCCTCAGACAATGGCGTAACTGATGCAAGGTGGATAATATGTTTGGATGTGTTTGTATGCTGGATGAGATTTCCTCAACAATAAAAAAAAAAACACACTTTACTTTATATTTTATAGAGTTTCAAATTTAAATTTTGACAATCCTATTTAGTCATTAATTATTAGACCAATCTACTGTTAACAAACATCCTATTTTCAAAAGAGAAACTTTTGAAATGAAACGTTTATTTCTCATATTTTTCTGAATGGTAGAAATGTCCAATATATTTAATTATGCCTATATTCTCAGTCGACACCCCTCCCCCCCTCATTTTTGTCCAGTCCATATTAATATAATAATTACGTTTTCTGGCCCAGTCAAGTTTATGTGATTTATGTTTTGTTTCATATTGTCTGCTTACTGTATCTTTGAATGTCTTTTTTTAAACCAGGGTCTGCCACTGGGCATCAACTACTACTGTAAACTCAACCCTGACTTCCTGCTCCAGGTCATCAAAGATTATCTACAGTTTGGTCCCCAAGTGGTGAGCTTGTTCAACTGTTCCAGAATGCTGTTGTAGCTCATGAAATGATGTCGGTGTCATGAACAATCGTCATTATCTGTGGACATGAAATATTATTGGTGTCATAATGAATCATCATCATCTGTGTTCATGAAGTTATTATTAATTGTAATGCATTCAGCTTAATAAAATATTTCTCCCAAATTTATGATAGGCAAATTTGTTAAAAAAACTGCTCTACAGTTTAAGGAATGTTTTTTATGGACCTTTATGAACATTTAACTTGTTCTAACTTTCAGCCAGGTGCTATAATCTCATACTTATATTGTTATCTCCAATTGTTGGAAAATGTGTTGCAATAATCTTATACTTAAATCGTTATCGCCAATTGTTGGTAAATATGTGCAGAGGCTGAATTCTGCAAGAAATGTTTAAAGCAAATGAAAAAAAAAATTTAGAATTGAATAAAAATAAACCAAAAGGAAAAAACCCACATGTTACTCTTCATGCTGTGACTTATTCCTTAATCTTTAACAGGAAGTTATAATGGAAAATTGCTTCTTTACTTTCTTAGCCTGTAAGTTCTGGCCAACCCATAAGCCCGGTGCTCAAGCGATGCCATCAAGTTCTTGACCCACTGACCAGGGCTGTGCCAGGTTTAATGGACGGTCTTTTTTTGATAGCCAAAGTCAAATTTCTTGCAGGTAAAAAAGGCTTAAAAATGTTTATGTTTTCTGTGGTGATTTACTAGCTGAAACAAGAAATGTTATCTTTCTGAGAGCAAAATCTGCGAGAGTGTTTAAGGAAATATATGGTGGTGTTTAAGTGAGATAATTAATATTTAGTGCGTAAAAAATTTAATTTTTTTAGTCTGTATGCTTCCATGGGCCCACGTTCTGGAACCAGCTCCCCTTCCATATACGTCATAGTGAAACCTCGTCCATTTTCAAAAAGTCCCTTAAAACTCATCTGTTTAGGTCCGCCTATGACCTGTGATGCACCCTCCTTGCCCTACCTCATTTTCTGTTTCGGGTTGATCCTGAAGTGTCAAAGTGTCCTCGTTTGATAGCCATTTTCATTGTTTCTATAGAATAGTAGTTACTATCCTAGTGTCTCATTTGTATTTACTTAGTTTACATGTTTTAATAATTGTAAAGCGCTTAGAGCTTTATGATAAGCGCTATATTAAAAATGCCTAAATAAATAAATAAATAAATAAAATGAACATGTTATATGAGTTATTAAGCTCAATCAGAAAAACCTTGCGAAGTTTTTCATTGAAAGTTTTTTTAGAAAGCATTCATACAGTCAAACATATTTGGTATACTCATGTCATCTATAACATGAGATAAAATCTGTAAATATAAGAGACATGGCCTTTCTAGCCTGAGAGCCTTCCAAATCTGAGAGCCTTCCAAATCCTAGAGCCTCCCAAATCTGAGAGCCTTCCAAATCGGAGAGCCTTCCAATTCTGAGAGCCTTCCAAATCCTAGAGCCTCCCAAATCTGAGAGCCTTCCAAATCGGAGAGCCTTCCAATTCTAAGAGCCTTCCAAATCTGAGAGCCTTCCAATTCTGAGAGCCTTCCAAATCTGAGAGCCTTCCAATTCTAAGAGCCTTCCAAATCTGAGAGCCTTCCAATTCTAAGAGCCTTCCAATTCTAAGAGCCTTCCAAGTCTGGAGCCTTTTAGGTCTAAGAAAGTAAAGTTCATTCCCTAAATCAGAGCCACTACCCCTAATGTGAATGTAGCTTTAGTCATCTCTGTGTCCAGGTGATGTGACTGCTGCACAGAGCACACTTCAGCATTGCCTGGACCAAGACGCCACTTTCTCCGATGCTCATATTTTAATGGCCCAGATACATCTCAGCCAGAATAATTTCAAGATGGCCAACCAGTCTCTGGAAGTTGGACTCAGCTACAATTTTCAGGTAGGAAATATTTGAAATTATTGAAACAGCCATGAAGTAATATAATCCGGTTGTATTATCATGTCTGGAGTAAGTATATTGGAAAAATCTGATTGGACCCTGTCTTTGGTTTGTATTACGCAGAACTATGTCCTCATTTGTCCCAATTCTTTCTGAAACCATCTCCACCTTGTCATCAGATCTGTGTTGCCAGCTTTTACTTGAATTTTTTCCAGGTTCGTGACCACCCATTGTATCACCTCATACTGGCCAGGATATTGAAAAAACAAGGAAACATGGCGGACGCTATCAAAACTTTGCAGATGGCTATGGCACTTCCAGGGGTGAAAAAAACTGGTTCGTATTTTATTTACTGTCAGTTTTCACTCTGCCAACTCAGGGTCCTTTAAAATCTTGTTACACAAACTTCTTTCCTTCTATTTCATTCAGTTGTTCAAGTAAGTTGATTAGAGGCGTCCAGATAAAACTTTCACTGGAGTTAGCAGTTATGTGTTTAACCAGTTGTAGCAGCTCACATTAGAAAGACTATTTTAGCATTTCTCAAACATCACCCTACTTTATGTTATTTTTACTGATGAAATTTTCCTATTTTAAGGTGCCAGGGTTGACTCTGCCAAAAAATCTAAAGTAGAAAACATTGGTGTCAACGACCGGGTTTCTGTTTTCTTGGAGCTTGCTGAAGCACATCGGTTGCAGAATGAGCAGGTAAACTGTCACACTGACTTGATTAAGTGCAGGTAAACTGTCAAACTGGCTTTAGTATGTGCATGTAAACTGTCACCCTGATTTTAGTATGTGCTTGTAAACTGTCACCCTGACTTTAGTATGTGCTTGTAAACTGTCAAACTGGGTTTAGTATGTGTTGGTAAACTGTCAAACTGGCTTTAGTATGTGCAGGTAAACTGTCAAACTGGCTTTAGAATTAGCAATTAACAGCTTAAAATAAGATACTAGAAGATAGTTAATTTTGTTTCGACATGATATAAAATTTGTTAGCATCTTATTATCTCCTATGTATCTGCCATGTTAGCATGAAGCTGCCAAGGTTATGCAGGACGCCATCAATGAGTTCCAAGGAACTCCTGAGGAGGTACGCATCCTTATCGCCAATGCTGATCTATCTCTGGCCAGAGGAGATGTTGAGATGGCCCTTGGCATGCTGAGAAACATCACACCCGATCAGCCCTATTTTGTTGAGGCACGTGAGAAAATGGCAGACATTTATTTGAATCACCGAAAGGACAAAAAACTGTATGCCAGCTGCTATCGGTAAGATGCTGCAATGAATTTTTAGTACTTTTTTTAATTGGTGGTCATTTAGAATTCTAAATATTTTTAGTGTTGAAAACTTGATGTTGATAAACTGTTTCTTCACATTGTGTATGGCATCATAACAAATCAAACGGGATGTACATCTCAAAAAATTTATTTTAATATTTAATTTATAAATTGAAACCAACTTAGATGCAAAAGATGACCTGCTCCTAACACATGTATTCTCCTACTGCCGATGCAAAACAACAAACCATATCATTTCTCAAACACAAAAACGTCATCATGCGAAAACCACATAGTAACAGTTGTGCAATAAACCTCAACACCAAAACCCACTCAGTAAACCAACAAGTATTCCAAAACATCAAACCCACTCAGTAAACTAACAAGTATTCCAAAACATCAAACCCACTCAGTAAACAAACAAGTATTCCAAAACATCAAACCCACTCAGTAAACCAACAAGTATTCCAAAACATCAAACACACTCAGTAAACCAACAAGTATTCCAAAACATCAAACACACTCAGTAAACCAACAAGTATTCCAAAACATCAAACCCACTCAGTAAACCAACAAGTATTCCAAAACATCAAACCCACTCAGTAAACCAACAAGTATTCCAAAACATCAAACCCACTCAGTAAACCAACAAGTATTCCAAAACATCAAACCCACTCAGTAAACAAACAAGTATTCCAAAACATCAAACCCACTCAGTAAACCAACAAGTATTCCAAAACATCAAACACACTCACAAAGAAACACCGTTAACAGTTTGCTAATTAAACTGTTTTCTTAATGCTGTTATACATCATCCTTTCTTGTGATCAGTGAACTTGTTGACAAACACCCCAGCACCCAAACATCTCTTCTGCTGGGAGACGCTTACATGAGTATTCAAGAGGTGAGTCAGTATAATGGACAGTACTGATATGCTTATCCATGACATGAGTGCTTTTCTATGACAGGATTGCTTTTCTGTGAGATGATTGCTTATCTATGACATGATTGCTTTTCTGTGACATGATTGCTTATCTATGACATGATTGCTTTTCTATGACATGATTGCTTTTCTGTGACATGATTGCTTTTTCTGTGACATCATTGCTTATCTATGACATGATTGCTTATCTGTGACATGATTGCTTTTCTGTGACATGTTTGCCTATCTATGACATAATTGCTTTTCTGTGACATGATTTCTTATCTATGACATGATTGCTTTTCTGTGACATGATTGCTTTTCTGTGACATGATTGCTTATCTGTGACATGATTGCTCATCTATGACATGATTGCTTTTTTGTGACATGATTACTTTTCTGTGACATGATTGCTTATCTATGACATGATTGCTTTTCTGTGACATGATTGCTTATCTATGACATGATTGCTTTTCTGTGACATGATTGCTTATCTATGACATGATTGCTTTTCTGTGACATGATTGCTTATCTGTGACATGATTGCTTTTCTGTGACATGATTGCTTTTCTGTGACATGATTGCTTATCTGTGGCATGATTGCTCATCTATGACATGATTGCTTTTCTATGACATTGCTTTTCTGTGACATGATTGCTTTTCTGTGACATGATTGCTTATCTATGACATGATTGATTTTCTGTGACATGATTGCTTATCTATGACATGATTGCTTTTTCTGTGACATGATTGCTTATCTATGACATGATTGCTTATCTGTGAAATGATTGCTTTTCTGTGACATGATTGCTTATCTATGACATGATTGCTTTTCTATGACATGATTGCTTTTTCTGTGACATGATTGCTTATCTATGACATGATTGCTTATCTGTGACATGATTGCTTTTCTGTGACATGATTGCTTATCTGTGACATGATTGCTTTTCTGTGACATGATTGCTTATCTGTGACATGATTGCTCATCTATGACATGATTGCTTTTCTGTGACATGATTGCTTATCTGTGACATGATTGCTCATCTATGACATGATTGCTTTTCTGTGACATGATTGCTTATCTGTGACATGATTGCTCATCTATGACATGATTGGCTGCTCTGTGATGAGGCTGTAACTTTGTGACTTAAGGGATTTTAAAAAAAAAGGTCATCATCAGCCACAGCTTTTTGTTTTGTTTTGTTTCTTGGATTGAGTTTAAAAATAAAACTGCTATTTTTTAATAAAAAAAATTGAAGCCTCTTAAAATAGACAGTGATGTAATTTAGTGTGTCCTTGATTCACCAGCCTGACAAAGCCATTGAAGTTTATGAATCTGCCCTTAAACTGAACCCCAAAGATGCAGCTCTGGCTAAAAGGATTGGCCAGGCCCTTGTCAAAACTCATAACTATGGAAAGGTAACTTGTGGAAATTTTTGCTTATTCTAAGCTCGTTTTTGAGCTAAGTGTTTTATACAAACTCTTTGGTGATTTGAGACGTTGTAGACTGGCCAGGAAAAAATATTTGATTTAGTCGTTATAATGATAATGAAGTACACACTTAATACAAAACTAGTGGCATGATCTCTTGACAGCCTTGAAGAAATTTTTTAATCATTTTATTTTGTGAATGAAATATTAAAAATAAAGTGAAAATTGAAATTCTGCAATGATTATTTATTGAGGCCTTAAACCAGGGGTTCGGGAACCTTTTTGTCTGAGAGAGCTATAGACACCACATATTTTGAAAAGTGATTCTGTGAGAGCCATACATTATGTTTAAAACTAAAAATTCAAGAAAATGTTTGCATTTTGTGTAATTTCAACACTAAAGATGCAATGATTATGTCTCTGAAATCTATTTAATAACATTGTTATGCTGTTGCTAATCAATAATCAGTATTTCTTTCCATTAATGCGGCATTTTTTTATGATCGAACATTTGTCTGCGAGCTAGATGCGGCCATCAATAGAGCCACATCTGGCTCATGAGCCATAGGTTCCCGACCCCTGCCTTAAACGAACAAATAACTTATAATCATTCATATTAGGAATAAAAAAACACAGATATTCCTTTGGAAACTTTTTTATCAACAAGCTAATTTTTACCCATGTCAGCATCCAAATTAAGTCCAATTATCCCAAACTTGGGGGCAGAACCTCCCGCGCGCCCCCCCCCCCCCATTCATCTGCCTTAATGCCCTGCGATGACGTATTGACCGAGCCACCCACCTGACTAAAAGATATATTTGAGGCCATTACTTTTCAGGGTTTTTATAAGAATAAAAAAACACAGATATTCCTTTGGAAACTTTTTTTACCAAAAGCTAATTTTTACCCCTGTCAGCATCCAAATTAAGTCCAATTTTCCCAAACTTGGGGGCAAAACCTCCCCCGCGCCCCCCCCCCCCCATTCATCTGCATTAATGTCCTGCGATGACGTATTGACTGAGCCACCCACCTGACTAAAAGATATATTTGAGGCCATTACTTTTCAGGGTTTTTTCTGTTATTAGATAATTTCAATATCATTGAAAACTGACCAGCAGTAAAATAAGGAGTGAATGACTGACAATATGTGTTTTTATTTAAGCCATCAACTATTACAAAGTGTCTCTGATTTGTTTATTTGGGCCATCGACCATTATGAAGTTTCTCTGATCTTTTTATTTAGGCCATCAACTATTACGAAGTGTCTCTGAAGTCAGGAGGCCAGGCGATGCTAAGGCAAGTTCCTTCTAAATTTTCTTTAAATTTTCTTGTAAAAATAAATTTGTTTTGTTAAAATTCAACAAAATATCTCTTGATAAAAAAAATATTATGCTCCCCAAAATTCGATGAAATGAAATCGTCATTGTAGATATGACTTGGCTGAACTTCTTCTGAAGCTGCGACAGTTTGACAAGGCGGAGAAAGTTCTCAAACAAGCTCTGGAACAAGACGGTCAAGGTAAACCATTCAGCACTTTAAGCAACAGATATCAATGTTGTCATTACAACATCCTCCTAGTTAAGCTGACATTATATGCCTACAAGATACCTGAATGCCAAGTTTTCTCTGTTAAACTTCTTACATGTTTACTACACATGCAAAGGGAATACACTGGCTCCATTTTATCAATACTTTTTAAAAAAATGTATAAAGTTTGGTTATTAGTTTAATTCTTCGCGTACGAGATTATTTAACTATAAATTAAATCAATTATTTAAATATAATAATAATAATTATTTATATGCGCCAACAGGACACAGATCATACATCTAGTTAATTATATGTGCTAACAGGATACAGATCAGACATCTAGTTAATTATATGCGCCAACAGGACACAGATCATACATCTAGTTAATTATATGTGCTAACAGAATACAGATCATACATCTAGTTAATTATATGCGCCAACAGGACACAGATCATACATCTAGTTAATTATATGTGCTAACAGGATACAGATCATACATCTAGTTAATTATATGTGCTAACAGGATACATATCATACATCTAGTTAATTATATGTGCTAACAGGATACAGATCATACATCTAGTTAATTATATGTGCTAACATGACACAGATCATACATCTAGTTAATTATATGTGCTAACAGGATACAGATCATACATCTAGTTAATTATAAGCACCAACAGGACACAGATCATACATCTAGTTAATTATATGTGCTAACATGACACAGATCATACATCCACCATTTTTTTTCCCTGTCATTACTAACTGTCATGTGTAAAAAAAATAGATCTGGAAACCATGATGGAACACACACGCTACTTGATGCTGCTGGCCAAAGTCCACACACAAGTGGAGAAACTGGATGAGTCTCAGAGCATTTTACAGCGTGCCAGAGACATGCAGGCAAGGTCAGTGAAAATGGCAGTGAGTTATTTAAATAGTTAAACTTAATATTGTTTGGCTCAACTGCTGAATCCATGAAAAAAAAAATATATATATATAATTAAGTGATGGAAGGTTTACTTAACACAAAGCAATAGACAAAAGTACAATTTCAATGAGCATCATATATTAGACTGTGGCAGACTCACTGTCAGAGCACAATCCTCAGAGAATAAGTGCACCACTCTCGCCCAAAGAAAGCACACTGCAAGGTAAAGCAGAAAACTACTCAAATGAGTACGCAGGTGGCTGGCCAGTCCCATCTGTGCCTGGAATGCTTACCAGGCACAGATAGGACTGGCCGGCCACGTGCCTACTCATCGTGTAATATAGCCTTTGTCATCTTCGTATGCGACAGACGAACAACAACAAAACAGCAACATCATAATAGACAATGGACTTAAGCAGGGTTATTAGTTTTAGCTATGAACCTAGTAGACAATGGCCTTAAGCAGGGTTATTAGTTTTAGCTATGAACCTAGTAGACAATGGACTTAAGCAGGGTTATTAGTTTTAGCTATGAATCTAGTAGACAATAGACTTAAGCAGGGTTATTAGTTTTAGCTATGAACATAGTAGACAATGTACTTAAGCAGGGTTATTAGTTTTAGCTATGAACCTAGTAGACCATGGCCTTAAGTAGGGTTATTAGTTTTAGCTATGAACCTAGTAGACCATGGCCTTAAGCAGGGTTATTAGTTTTAGCTATGAACCTAGTAGACCATGGCCTTAAATCATTTGAAGGGTTCAAGGGAAAAACCAGTTATGTCAGTTTTTAGAAATTTCTATGTTATCTCCTTTGTGGCTACATTCAATTTAATAGAATAATATGATACATAGGTCCAACTGAAAAAGCAGCGTGGTCAATAAATAAATACGTAGACATCTTGATATTTTATACTTTTATTAGGAATTTTCAAACTTTAAATTCAATTTTCTCAAAACTCTCAAAACCTGACATCACTGGTTTTTCCCTTGAGCCCTTCATTTGGTTTTTAGTTTTAGTTGTGAACATTATTCTTGTGCATCACTGTCATTATTTTTCACATTGCTAACAACTATTGTTGTTGGGATAGCTTCAGTTTCTGTTTTATCCGCTAAGTCAGGTTCATTATATTTGATTCAGTGTAGTGTCTCTTAATGAGAACAACTTGCTTCTGACCTTTTGTTGTAGAGTATTAAAGAGAGTGCAAGTGGAGCAACCAGATGCCATTCATGACCAAAAGGAACTTGCGGCCAGGTAATATTACAATTTCATAAACCACCAGTTTTAGAGTTGTTGAGACTGACCTTTTGAAGAAGGCAACTGTTTTAATAGGAGAAACTTACATCAAATTTTAGGAGGTGCAATGCAAAAATTTTGCAATATTATAGGTATAAGAGGGTTAGACTGCGATTAAGCTTTTAAGTGCATTAATGAGACACCAACAATTTGTTTAAATAAAACAGTGGATGTAAGCTTTAATTATAATGTGCATTTTTAATTGTTTGGGTCTCATTAACCTGCAAAATTATAGAAATTATTTTATTTTTCAAATAAGCTTTAAGTGGAATTTGACTGTTTTGTAATAATTGATTATTCCTGTTACAACAAATGTTGAGTAGGTATCAAACTAGCCCTAAAAAAACTAATTGCCTTACTTTAAATGCCCTACTTTAATTGCCCTACTTTTCCTATTTTGTTTATTGTATAGTTACTTTATATATATATTTTTTTTCTGTATAGGCCTACTTTAAACTCTTAGAAAACTCCTTATGTATGTTTTAAAGTAAGTTTAAATTGCAGTGGAGAGTTATGTTTCCCTGGCTGGAATAAATGGGACAGCTGTGAGTTTATTTCATTCTGTGTTGTCATCATATGAGTCATGTAATATCTGTGATGAAACCATTCCTTTCTTGTGCACAGCATTTGCAGTCAGCTGGCGGATCATGCTGCCAACCAAAGAGACACAGATACAGCCATCAAGTTTTACAAGGAGGCGTTGGTCTACAGTGAAAATGACAGCAAAGTAAGTTGGTACTCTCCTTGCTAGTAAAGTGACAGAATTATCTTTCCATTTCACAATCTAGCTGACATTTCTTTTGAATGTTTCTTTTTGGAAAAGTGTGTTTTTATTTGTAACTTATCTCATGTTTCTCTTCTCAGAGAAGCCTGGACCTGGCAGGGCTGTACCTGATGTCAGAAGACCTGGATGCATGTCAGCACCAGTTGATGACACTCTTAAAAAATGACAGTGACAACGACAGTGCAACAATTGTAAGTTTGGACAATTAAAAAATGATGCCTAAAGGGTATTGAAAGTGGCAAGTTTAAATACTTCTGTAATTAAAACAAATTGCTTTGACTTTAACTGTGCCACAATTTTAACAGCTTAAATAATGACACAAGTATATATTAACTATTAGAATGACATCATCTATAGGAAGAGAAATAATTTGATGCTTTCCGAGCAGTGCCGAGAAAAAGAGGTGCCTGGGGCAAGGCCTGAAAACGGTGCCCACCATTTTTTAGAAAAAAAGTACAAGTACCGCCAGCATTTTGTTCATTTAATCACTGTAAAGCTCCTATCTAAAGATGATGTTGGCGCCCCCCCCCCTTTTTTGGCACCTGGGGCTATCACCCCCTTACTGGGGCAAGGGCTGAAAACGGTGCCCCCCAATTTTTAGAAAAAAAGTACAAGTGCCGCCAGCCTTTTGTTCATTTAACCCCTGTAAAGCTCCTATCTAAAGATGATGTTGGCGCCCCCCCCCCCCTTTTTTGGCACCTGGGGCTATCACCCCCTTTGCACAGCCCTGGATGCATGGGCAACAACAGGCCAACATAATTTTTTGACGAGCTGTATACAAAATCCTTACATTTGATTGTTTGAAATAAGTGGCTACATTACATTTGAACAAAATTAAACTGAGATGGAAACCCAGCCCAAGTGTTACATTCCTCTTATCACTATTCACAGATGCTGGCTGATTTGATGTTTCGTAGAAATGAGTATGACTCAGCAATGTACCACTTCCGGCAGCTGTTGAACACCAAACCAGGTTGGAGATTTTACAACCAGTAATATTATTAAACATAAACTTGTGTGCTTTTCAAATTTTGCATTAGTTAAATAGGTTACATTTTTTTTTTGAGTATTTCAATTAATTTATGTATAAAAGCTTTAAATGTGTTAAAAATGTCTTAAATATATCTAAGAAAACATGTGTATTGCTATCTATTAAAATATTTCTGACATGATTAAATAAAATAATCCTGAAGGAAGGAAGATCTTTGCACACTAACTATAACATGCAAGGTGTTTATTTATGTACACGCAGACAACTACGAAGCTCTGGCCAGACTGGTTGATCTCATGAGGCGTGCCGGCAAGTTGGATGAAGTCCCAAAGTTTCTAGATGAGGCTAAAAGTGCATCCTCCAGGGCTTCCTTGGAAGCTGGCTTTTCCTACTGTAAAGGACTATATGAATGGTACAGATTAGATATCTATAAATCTATGCGTGTCTCTGTAGAGACGTAATATACATTTCCTAATGAGGTCTTTTTAATTTCGACTCTTTCTTATGGTACTCTATTTTTATCCTCTTACTATTTGTGCAAATTATGTGTTTCCTTTCGATTCTCTGATGTAGCGGTGTTCAACCTTTTTTCATCTTAGGCTTTACTAGAATAAATTATCAACATTCCTTCGTACACCATTGAAGCTTTCAATATAGAATAGTGGTCTGCTCAATTTGCTTAAAAAATAATGACTGGGAAAGTTTAGGAAACAAAGCTTCTGCACACCAGTTAGACATTGTTGTAAGTGAAAACTTTTTAAGTCAAATTAGTTGTTTCTCAAACAATGTCACATCATTAACCCCTGTGTGTGCCAGGTATTCTGGGAATCCAACCGAGGCTCTCAAACACTTCAACAAGGCACGCAAAGATTCTGATTGGGGAAACAGTGCCATCTATAACATGATTGAAATTTGTCTCAATCCAGATAGTGAGACTATTGGTGGTGAGGTCTTTGCCTCAGTGGAAGGGGACAGTGCACAGTGAGTCTCAAAGAGTTGATTTTTTTTTTTTTTCAAATTAAAGTACTCTTTTGTTGTCCTGGTCTAACTTAAATTAAACAGTTGAAAAGAATAAATTACATATATAATAAAATAGAATAATTTGGGGGAAATTGTTCTTAAAAAAAAAAAAAAAAAGAAATAAAACTAGATTTGCGAATTAGTCTCTGTAAGTAGGTCAGTATGAATATTTTTCCAAGATTCTGTTTAATACAGGAACACCATGGACAAAGACAAGGCTGATACAGAAATGATGGCGGTTAGGACTGCAGAAAAACTTTTAAAGGTCAGAAAAATAGAAATGTATTTTCTTTTCGATTAAAAATATTAAATGTACAACATGTATTCCTTTGTGCTCTTTTCAATACTTTGCTGACATTGTATCAAATTGATCATAAAGGAATATGCTGGATCAAATTATCCTACCCTGGGTGATGTTGGGTCTATGTTTAGGGTTGGTGTAGGGGGTGGGGTCCATGACTTAGAGAATAATTTTAAAATTCACTGTTAGTACTGTCATGTTCAGAGCTAACAAGTCAGATGATTCCATAACACCATTTATGCACAAAAAGTCAGAGAACCCATTAGACATGATAATTTTGTTGAATTTTACATTTTTTGAAATGAAACATAATTTTTAAAGCAGACTGTAAGTTAATGTAGAACCTTAGTTAATGTAGAACCTTAGTTAATGTATAACCTTAGTTAATGTAGAACCTTAGTTAATGTAGAACCTTAGTTAATGCAACCTTTTTAATTGAGGATTTGAAACTTTTAAAAAAAAAATTTGAATAAAACTGCATTTTACTTAATGAAATTTTATTAAGTGTTACAATGCACATTTTTTACCTGTTATATCACCTTTGAACCATCAGGAGGTGAAACCCAAGCCTGGTGACATTCGGCCTACAATACTGGAGAATATGGCACTGATAGCCACAAAGCAGAAGGCAAATGTTGAGCGAGCTCTCAACAGTTTCATGGAAATATGTTCAGGGGAGGTAAGTCATACATGTACATCCTGTTTATATGAGACTGTTGACATTCATCTCGGGTCCATTTGACATCAATGGCTACCTCCCAGTTCAGTTTGCTTAGTCTGGATTTTAAAAAAACTAATTTGAGTTGTTAATGTCATGAGTGGTCCCTAACTATCATATGTCATCAGTAACTATAATGTTACATCATCAAGCCACTTATGTTACATCATCAAGTGAATCTCATGACCATCATATGTCATCAGTAACTATAATGTTACATCATCAAGCCAATGTCATGACCATCAGATGTCATCATTAACTGTGATGTTACATCATCAAGTGAATCTCACGACCATCATTACACATAATTAATATAACAAAGCCAGACTGACATGTTCAATGTTATTGTCATGGTGGAACAACTCCCTGTCATGTCTGACTTTTTACTCTGCTTCAACATTTTATTAAAGCCCTTGATTTATTTACTGAGTAAATAGAGTAAATTACTCTATATGTGCTTATGTCCCTCAAAACTATACTTACACCTATCCTATGTATGTTCCATTATACAAATGTTGAGTTCATATTTCTTAGTGTAAATCTTGATTGATTCATTTTTTTCTTCAATGATACAAGTGGACATAATCCTATCCTACAACAAGTCTTAAATGGCACACATATTTATTTACTTTTGTTTAACTCCCCTTTGTGGGACACTAACTTCGCAATGACTCCAGCAGGCAGCCCCAGAAGGTCAGGGGTCAGCCCATGCAGAAGGAGGCTCCAGAAAGGTAGACAATTTGCCAGTTTGCACTAGATGTTTTTTCATTCTTAAATAAATTAACTGTTTTTCTATCTCATTTGTTTTCATGAAGATCATTCTTTTCAAGCCTCAATCTCATCTCTTATGGCTGGCCTATAAAGCACTTTATCTTCACATTTTTAACCTACATGTTCCTAATTAGGAAATAAGATTGTTGTTCCTTTTTCATAAGCAATGCCCCCCAACAAGGAAATATGATTTTTATTTTTATAAGCAATTCCCCCCCCCAACCTATCACCTAATAATCTATGCTCCCTCCACCTGCTTTAAACAAATATGTGATAGAAATATTTGTGTACTACAACCCTCAATTTTTTTTTTCAATTAAATATCTCAGCTGTCTTTTTTTTTACTTATTGAAAAAAAACCATTAAAGCAATAGGACTATGTACTATTAAAAACATTTTGTACCTTACTGCAGTGATTCTCAAACTTTAAATTGCATTATTCCAAGTGGTCACAAACATATAATAATTTATTTTTTTAATAAATTTATGAATACATTCATAAGGTTGGTGCATTTAACTAATATATTTGGCTCTAAATTGTGCCTCAAAACATATTCCAGACTGTTGGTATTAATTAGTTGACTATGTTAACTTCTTCATGAAAAATTGATAGTTGGGAAGAGTTAAGTGTGCATTGGTATAAAAAAAATTTAGTACCAGCGGTGGGTACATGCAAAGGTCTGACAGCACTGCATGTGGCATAAAAAATTCTAAAAATTAAAATAACTATATAACTGTGATTAGACCACAGACACCCGATGTGTGAATTACATCCGCTTTTTTTAGTCTTTTTATTGGGCAGTTTTAAAACATATTTTTACAATTAAAATTGTTGATATTATATTATAATTCATTCACAAGGTACAAGTAGTCGTATATAGGCAAACAGGGTTGTATTAGTGTTATTAATAGTTTTTACACAACTTTCCTACAAGTTTTGTAATTTTGTTGCATTAATTAGAGAAAACTTACTTACTTGGATCAGCCTTGAGCATCCAAGTAAGTAAGTTTTCTCTAATTATGTGGTGCACTTACCCAACCCTAGATCTAAGTGATTAGCTTGTCGTCCTGGCACTTACCCAAACCTAGATCTAAGTGATAGCTTGTGGTCCTGGCACTTACCCAACCCTAGATCTAAGTGATAGCTTGTGGTCCTGGCACTTACCCAACCCTAGATCTAAGTGATAGCTTGTGGTCCTGGCACTTACCCAACCCTAGATCTAAGTGATAGCTTGTGGTCCTGGCACTTACCCAACCCTAGATCTGAGCGATAGCTTGTGGAGCACTAACCAAACACTAGATCTGAGTGATAGCTTGTGGAGCACTAACCAAACACTAGATCTGAGCGATAGCTTGTGGAGCACTAACCAAACACTAGATCTGAGCGATAGCTTGTGGAGCACTAACCAAACACTAGATCTGAGTGATAGCTTGTGGAGCACTAACCAAACACTAGATCTGAGCGATAGCTTGTTTAAGCACTAACCAAACACTAGATCTGAGCGATACCTTGTGGAGCACTAACCAAACACTAGATCTGAGCGATAGCTTGTGGAGCACTAACCAAACACTAGATCTGAGTGATAGCTTGTGGTGTACTTACCCAACCCCAGATCTAAGTGATAGTTTTAGGATAACAATGAAACAATAGCTGTTAAAATTTAAGTTTGAAGTAATCAACCTGAAATAAATAATTTCACCCAACAACAGTTCATTTGTGTAAATCTGTAATTAATAATAATAATAATAATAATAAGTGGTCTTATATAGCGCGGTACCCCGGCCTTTCACCAAAGGAATCAAATATGATTGTGTTAAATGCACTCATGGGTCAAATTGTTCAAATCCAGCATTTAGTTATATTTCCATCAGTCATGCAAAGAAAAACCAACCAACTTGAACACAAAAGTTTGAGATAAGTAACGACAACTAAAAACAAATGATTGTTTTAAATTAAAATTTCACTTACAGTGCCACTTATGCCAGTTACAATACCACTTATATTACCAGTGACAATAACTCTTATAATGCCACTAATGCCAGTTACAATGCCACTTATAATGCCATTTATAATGCCAGTTACAATGCCACGCATCATACCAGTTATAATGCCACTTATAATGTCGATAAGCTGAGACAACAAGATCAAATGTAGAAATTATGCGATCAATTAATTAGAGAAATTTAAATATAAACTAAAGCATATTTCATTGTTGTTTTACCTGATTAAAGAATGAAACGCTGGTAAGCATCTGATTGCAATATCTCTATTCCCACAGTTAAGACAATGTTATTACAACACTCATTGATCCATGTGCTAACACAACTTTTGAGAAGCATGTGTTGATACGCAGTAGCAAACACTCAGTGGAATGAGTTGATTAGACATCAGTAAAAAATAAAAAGTTTCTGTTTGTAGTAAAGATGTGTAACGTATGGAAACTGAGTATGGTTAATTATGGAATTACTCTACATATAATACAGAGAGAACACGTTGGTGCCCTCTACGGCATGGCAGCAGCTTACATGGTACTGAAGCAAATGCCTAGAGCCAGGAATCAGCTGAAACGCATATCTAAGAGTCCCTGGACTATTCAAGTACGTGTTTAACCAACTTTGTGAATCTGATAGAGAACTCTTTAGTCAAATATAAGAACTGCTGGCTTTTTAAGTTTTTTTCCATGTTGACATTATAAGATAAAGAGTAATCTGCAACTGACTATTCCAGGATGCTGAGGATTTAGAGAAAAGCTGGTTGCTGCTGGCAGATATTTACATACAGTCTGGTAAATATGACATGGCTGGAGAGCTACTGAAGAGATGCCTGCAGTTTAACAAGGTGATTCTATTGTGTTCCAGATATGTCTAACTGTCAATAGATTAACATACTTATCTTTAATATTTAAGCAGTGTATTTCTATTTATGCTGTTGCACTGCACATTTTTCTTCCTCCCTTCCTCTTGTGATATATTGTTAAAATATTCCATACCTTTAGACAGAGAATATTATGATTGCAAATGATATCAGGTTAGAAATAATATGACAGCGCAATAAAATTGTAAAATGTGTGTGTTGCAGTCCTGCTGTAAAGCCTATGAGTACAGTGGATTTATATTTGAAAAGGAACAGTCCTACAAGGATGCTTCAAACAGTTACGAGAATGCTTGGAAGTATGGCAACAAAAATAACCCAGTTATAGGTACGTACATCCGGCCAGGACACAATGCCTGGAAGTATGGCAACAAAAATAACCCAGTTATAGGTACATTTGTCAAACTAGGTCACAATGCCTGAAAGTAGGGCAAAAAAAATAACCCAGTTGTAGGTATGCACTTCTGATTAGGTCTCATACTGATTCTTATGATTGAAGTTATCAAGTCTAGAGTTCGCTTGCATGAGTCTCTATATTATCAATGATAATTAGGGAAAATGAATCCTCTTTGAAATTTTCTGTTTAATCACAACTGCTGCACCTGTACTTTGGCCCATATAGTTAGCATGTGAAGAGGTCAAAAGGAAGCAAGAAAAAAAAAAGCATCACTTAATTTATTGAATTCTGAATCACATTTAAATAAAGAATAAAAGTTATTTTTAAATACTAGACTGATGAACGTTATTTTTGTGAATTCTTCATTATTTTATTCATAGAATGTATTTTTTTGATCTTATCACAGAAAATCTACTGCATTTTGAAATATAAAAGACAATTTCATTAAAGCTTATTCAAAGAACTCATAAATCTAGACATTTAGCAAGGACTTTTTTGATGTGTTCTAAAACGCCAGTGTTACTATTGGACAACTTTTCTAAATGTGAAATTTTTCCTCATTCAGGTTACAAATTAGCTTTTAATTACATGAAAGCTCGAAGATTTGTGGATGCTATAGACATCTGTCACCATGTAAGTCTTACTTTTACCTAGATATATTTTTCTACTTTTAGAAAAAAATTGTGGGAAAGGGAGTTGTGATGCTTTGCGATTTCTTTTTCCATTCTAACATAATGAACACAGAAAAACATTGACAAAGTAACCAAAATACAGTAATGCACAAAGAACACAAACAAATATTTGCTAACAAAAAATGCAGAGGATATAATAACGTCAACAGATTAAGAAATAACATATAATAGGACAATAACAGAAAGGGAGATTAATATGAATTGTTTTTATGAAATCTATGGGCCTACATGTTTTGTCAGATATTTTTAGTTATGTATGTACCCTGTACTCATTTTTTTGCTCGTTTTAAAAGTTGCTTTTTTTCTCTCAATTTTTTAAAAGACATTTGTTCTCTAAAAGTTTTTAAAAACTAAATATTTCAGGTTTTGAACAGTCACCCCAACTACCCTAAAATCCGCAAGGACATTTTAGAGAAAGCCAGACAAAGCATTAGAGTTTGATTTTGTTTTGTGATGTTGTTGGCAAGTTAATTACCAGATATTCTGGTCTCATTCCAAATATTTCGACTTATTTGAACTGTTTAAAATCATTTCAAGATTTTGTGAATTGACATAACTTTCACACGAACAATGTAAAAATGAAAGACTGGATTGTTGCTAATGTACCTTTAAATTAATTTGTTTCCAACTCACGGACACCTCATGGGGGCCACAGTCAAGCCTGCCTCTGTTGGAGTTTTTCCAGGGTCATGTTTCTATGTTCCTCAGATCCTTGTCTGATTTTCTGAACCAAGTCTCATTGAGTAGAATAGAATACTTGAATAGAATTCTATATTCATTTATTTATCAGTCTGACGTGAATGTCTTGTGAAACTTACAAAAAGAAATTTTAGTGCTCCAGAGTATCAAAACAATCTTGAATGCAAATTTTCTCAGACTTTATTTAACTCATACTTTGTGTCATTAAATAACATTTTAAACAACACCAGACTGAAAGAGTTGGTAAATATTCAATATTTGATGTCTCCTAAAGAATGTCATCTTGACCCTGGAAAGTCCTGACCAATATTTTAAGGGCTTTTTATGTCCACTCATTTAAAAACTTGTGAAAATAAAAATAAAAACAATCTTGCTAGTGGGAGAGTTCATTTAATTTCACTAACCTAAATTATGAAGTGACATGAAATCTCATTCAAGTGTTAATATCCGTCCATTGTTTATTTACATTACATCTACATTGATTTTATTAAAGAAATTTTTTTTTAAATATTAATTTATTTTAAAAACATTTTGTTGTATATAGTAAATAATCATACATTTTGCATCGTGCTTTAAATGTTTTCTTAAAATAAATTTTGATATACTTTGATCTCTTGAATGAAATGGTGTTTGATTTTTCTGTGACTGGTTTGAAATGTCTGAGTAATATATATAACCATTCTCATACAGATATCTTTCTTACTTTCATGTTACAATAGTAATACAAAACCCAAGCTGGTGTAGTGTTATATACTATTATGGTTTTGAAGATTTAATCTGTGTTAATATTTTAACTCTATAATAAACAATATGTAACAAAGAACTGAGAAAAACAGTATGAAAAGAAAACGATACAAAGGCTAGTGATATTCAGAATATTTCATTTAATTATAAAATAAATTTCTATACAAATACAAATTTGAGTACAAAATCACAAAAAGCTGTATCAACTTACAGCAAGTGAAAAATAGGTACAGGTGCACTCCTCAAAATACACATATTAATTTACACATAGACAATAATACAATGTCTCATATGGCAAAAATCTCTGCCTTGTTCTCTCTCCATCTATCTGTCTCACTGCTAAGAAAGTATGCAGCATATATATATATATATAAACCAACTTTCTAGTACAGAAATTCTAAAAATTGTGTCACCTAATGGCATTCTTGAGAAAAATTGGAATGCAATCGATTGTGAACAACCATTTACCAGCAAAGAAAGGGGCAGGGCAAAGGAAGGTGTGACTGAGCACATTTAGTTGGTGATGTCAATATCATAGTCATACTAGCAGACAAGTTGTGGTGGCTAAAAATAGCTCTGTGTTGTAGTTTAAAAATAAGCGAAGTCCTAGGCTATATATATAACACTAGCAGAAATAGCAAGAAAATAAGCTCAAGAAGTTTGTAGCTTTATACCATAGTCTCTAAATTAAAATTTGACACTGTACAAATATTTAATTAGATATTACCAAGATGTCTTTAAGCAAAAATAACCATGTGATCCTAGAAGGTGACAAACTTCTAAATGACAGGTAACATATTCAATTTTAAAATAAGAAATCATACATCTGGTAAAACATCATGTAAATTAATTAATGTATTTATTTATATTTAAATAATCAATTTTCAAAAAATATTGTAAAATACAGTAAAAAAATATATTTTTGACAATAAAAGATGAAAAGTGAAAGAGATTATTGTCATGAACAGAATGCTAAAATTTGACTTGTAAAAAATAAAATGTTTAGGAACAGTTAAGAGTACATTTGATTTTTCGTTTACTTTAAAATAAAATATCTGTTATTTACAAAAGGCTCAATAAATCACTTCAAGATTTACACCTACAAATATGTAGTAACAATATATATATATATATAATAATAATAATCTATACATCTTAACTTACACAAAAAATGTGAATCTGTTTCACATAAAGACAGCTACTTATTAAATTCTATGCACACTTTTCTCTTAAATTTTACCTTAAAAAAAAAGAATATAGCCATAATTCCATGTACAAAAATAATTTGCATATTAGGGTCCTTCTATCTCACATGATTCATGTTTAGCGTTTAATGAGATAAATATCTTACATTTTTTGTATTAATCTTTAGAAAACTTGAATTATTGTTATTATTTAATAAACAATTTTTTTCATGGAAATTTTTTTTGGAATAAATATCCTTATAAATATTTCTCATATGGTAACAATAAATACACAAATTGCTTCCATAATACATATACTACTGTAGTATATTACCATTTTAAAAAAGGAGTGCAATAGGAAAGTGAAAAAAAAAATGGAAATAACATTAATAAATATTCAGCAAAAATGTTTTAAGGCCATTTGGTGGGCAAGTCTTTGAAGGACAATTTATGCTGCCATTTAATATAAAATTAAAATTCATACTTTGCAAAATTGAACAGCAAATGATGCTTTTTATTAATAAAACTTATGAAAATAACCAGACAGAGAATTATGCTGTTGGCCTCAATATGAAGCATAAATTTCAGAAATGTTTGTACATTTTTAAAGATTTTTTTTAAAAGGTATAAAATTAAAGTGTTTACAGGTAAAACAAAGACAATTTAAAGTAAAATAAAATTCAATAACATAATTGTTGTTTACACATATCTGCCACCAGGCTGTTTCTCTCCAATGGTTGGCTCATAATGAGAGACATAACGTTGTTTTTTGAAATGCTTGATAACTGTGACAACTATTTTTAGCAGGAGTAAAGCAGCTGCTATGGCTAAAAGAACAATTCTAAAAATGGAATTTCGCTCTCCCATTTCAAAATGCTTAGTTATACTTCCTGATAATGCCACAACGACAACGATGTAAGGGGTAATGGTATAACGAGTGTAGCGATCGAGAAGGAAAAAGTCTACAAAAGAGTAGACAGCTATTTCAGCTGAGAGAATCGCCAATATTACAGTTCCTGCAGTGTGATATTCAACTAGCTTATCACCACTGTAGGTCATAACCATGGCAACATTGAGCAATGTGGCAATGGTGACCCATGTGGCCTGAATACTCAACCCATTGTGAACAAGGACTCTGGTCAGCCAAATATCCTTGGTACGTTTTTGATTTACAAGCTCGGGAGAAGCTTTATCAAGAGCATAGTAGGATACAAATAGAGCTAAATACATCAACAAGCCATAAGCAATGAGAACTGCACAAGAGGCCTCTATCTCTTGTCTGTCAAACGTGATAAGCCAGGTAATGTTAGCACAGCAGACAATGATGCAGATGATGAACAAGGTATAGGGAAGGAAACGCGGGTTTTCACAGGCCCTTCCATTCTGACCCTTTCGGCAGATGTTTACAACTGAGTAGATAACCCACAGTGCCTGCCATGCATAGATGAAACCCCAAATACTGAAAGTCCATCCAGCTGGAGTTACTGCTGTGTCAAATGTAGCAGACAGATCACCTGTTTTGTTTATGAAAACAGCTGAGGAGTGCAAAAAAAAGTACAGGACTTATTGGCATTTTGAATTAAAACATTGAAATGCAAGTCTAATAACGGACTAACTCACACTTTTAATTAAAACATTGAACTGTAAGTCTAGTAACACTAACAGTCAAACATCTTTCATTGACCTTTCTTTCAATTTCAAATTAGAAAAAATATTCAAAGATAATTAGATTTAAGACATCTTAGGGTTCATTTTTTTTCACAATAATTGCAAACAAAAGCTGATTTAAGTAATGTCTCGGCGTAGTGTATGAAGTTTTCCCATTTAATTTTAATAGCGCTGAAATGGCAGCAATATTAGATTTGTGAAAGAAGTCTTCAATCCCTTTTATGTGCCAAAGTTTTTTTTTTTTTAAACATTCATTGCTAGCAAATAATTTTCAAACCATAAAAAGTTATTTTCACAAAATTATAAATAGAATTTAATTTTAAAAAATGAAAAATAAATATTTTGGCCAACTTACTACTTTGATTGGCCGACCTGATATACAAGCAAATAAAGGTCTAGGCCTATTCAATTATTCAAATATCTGAAGCTTTATACTAAATAAACGACTGTGACTTACTTCCATCTGGCCCAGCGCTGCTAAGAGCATTTATAACAAACTGGGCTACCATAAAAATAAAGTTTGTAATGCTCAATATTGGATACAGCATCTTGATGAAGTAATGCTAAGTAGATAGTCAGCTGCGAAAATAATAAAATAAAACAAGTATTGCAAAGATTCTGTTATAAATAGACAAGCATGTTTGTAGTATTAATCAATGAATTGTGGAATAATAGTGATAATAGTTGGGATAATTATTAATAATTATAGATAATAGACTATTATCTCTAATTTTAATAGAATAATAGATGAATCCATTTGTTATTTTTAACTAAAATTACTGGATGGTTTTTCTATCGTTATCTCATTTTCCGTTAAAATATGTAGGCTTATAGTTATAGTATAGACTACTTAAGACTACTACTACTATAGACTATAAATACATTTCAGTAAGTCCCTGCCCTATTTGCCTATTTCTTAAACTTAAAGCCTAATATATATCATATATCTTATTGTATGCCTACACATGAAATTTAGGTCAAGTGATTTCATTTTATAGAAGGGTTGAAAAAAAAAACAGGTGGAAAAAAAGATTAGTTGACAGATTCAATAAATGGGTAACTAGGTCATTGAAAAATAAATATTAATATAACCTACTCACATACCCGGTACTCCAGTACTGAAATTACACTGACACTGCTACTCTCACTGACACTGGTCTGTGACTAGTCCCTGGAATAACTTATTCTTCACTGGACTTAATTTAAAGTCTAAACAAAAAAGAAAACAGAAAACAACTTACCAAAATAAATTCTTAAAGATCGTCTTAATAAAAGCTTAACAAATTATAAACTCAGCCCACAACCTTTTCTCTGGTGGTCGATGAACTGTTTGAAAACTTACAAAGCGGCGTGCTACATATAAAAGTTGAACTTATGTAATGTAGGAGTTGTTGTGACGTCACGTGTCTAAAAATAGATAATTTACATAACGTGCCTGTAAACACTACTTGAACACCAACTTCTCCAAACCAAGTACGCTTGCACTTTTTTCTTTCTTTTTTTTTTCCTAAGCATAGTATTGGACCAAACTCAAAGTGGCTATTATTTGGGAGATGATGACTCACCTTAAAAGCCCATTATATGATTAAAGACTTTCAGCACAATTAATAGCTTAAACTTAAGTATAGTTCGTCAGTTCAGTAAAATAAGGATATTATTTTTAAACAATCATAATTTGCCAGAGATTTGGAGCTGAGCTGAAAAATCTTTAGCCTGAAGCTGGTAAAATTTCTTACTGCTCCAAAATTTAAAAAAAAAAATTAAAATCTAAAAAATATATATATCTTGAAGTTTAGATATTTAAAATAATAATAATGGATGCAATATTCTTCTACAACTAATAACCAGGTTGCCCTACTCTGTTGCGCTCTCTTCTACAAGGTATGTTGCCCCACTCTTTTATAGCTATGTTCTTCCATTCTATTTGCTATGTACCCCACTCTAATAGCAGCTATGTTGCCCCAACACAGAAATCCGCAAATTTCTGGTTCTCGGGCAACCACATACCTCTGGCATATTGTCAGACGAACCCTGAGTGGGTCGTGGTCCAAGGTTTGGAAACTGCTTAATGATGGCATTGTAACTGAACTGTTTTAAATCTTCGTAAATGAAATGTAAAGTGATAAAAAAAAAAACTTTACATAACGAGTGTCGTAAATTATATAGGTCTACTCTGGTCAAACCCAAATCCCTTATAAACATGACTTCCCAAATGACGTCAATAATAGACCTTCTAGTCTATTGTTTACTAGTCGAGTTTTGTAAGAGTTGCTTGTAATACATCAAAGCAAACGTTTAAAATGTAAACAATCATTGTTGTATCAAGGTGATAGGCCTTCGAAAAAAATATAGTTGCAGTATTAGAGAAATGGACGCTTATTTAAAAAAAAAAATAAAAAAAATATTATTATTATTAAAAATCACTCTAAACTCATCTCAATTTTTTAATGAATATAATTAATATATGTATATTTTCCAATGAAATTAACCCAGTGTGACTAGCGTAGCTGCCTGCCTTTAGAATATCCCCTCCCCCATTTCCACCATCCCTATAATTTTCTTTCCTTCAGCTTTTAAAGGTGAACACGTTATCAGGAGCTAAAGTTTATTCAATTTAGAATGTTCAAGACTCAAACTTGAAAATCCAGATACCAAAGACTTTAACGCTAACTTAAATTTCGCTAACGTTAACAATGACCATAAGAAATAGTTTCCTTACAAAAAGTGTTTTCATGCGTCTAAATATATCTGTCGTGCCTGAACCACACGTGGGCCTGCACATGTCTCTGTCGAGGCTAGAAGTTAGTCAGGCGCTTCATGGTTTGACAACACACTTACAGGCAATGCGAAATAATTGCTGGCTACGTCCATTTCTTTAGGCTTTAAGCCTGTAGCTGAGAGAGAGAGAGAAGCGACTACAATCATGGATAATGTTGCGGCGATTCCACTGAAATACATCAGTGTTCGAAGATAGAGGTCGAGGATTTTTTTTTTTTTTTTACAGTGTTGTATCTAACCGCTCATTAGTAAGTGTATAACATGCCATTGACAAACGCGATTGCTTGAGCACGTTAAGGACTGAGACACTTACAAACACGCAGAGTCACAGGTCATTGGGTGAACACACTGAAGAATACAAAACTAAAAAACAAACATAGTCAAAGGTCATTGGATGAACACACTGAAGAATGAGTCACAAACAAACATAGTCAAAGGTCATTGCGTGAACACACTGAAGAAGAATGAGTCACAAACAAACATAGTTAAAGGTCATTGGATGGACACACTGAAGAATACAACACTAAAAAACAAACATAGTCAAAGGTCATTGGATGAACACACTAAAGAATGAGTCACAAACAAACATAGTCAAATGTCATTGGGTGAACACACTGGAGACACACTGAAGAAGAATGAGTTACAAACAAATACATTGTTCTCAGATGATGTATTTAAGATTACCCGCAAACTCTTCTCTTATATTGATACGCCCTTTTCCTTTTTATATTTGAATCTCATAAGGGTAGCTACTGTGGCGATACTGAGAAGGGCGAATGCTCATAATACCAAACTTATTTAAAAAAAAAAAAAAAAATTATTGACGTTATTGTTTCTCCTCAATGTCAGTGTTATAAATATGACAGTTAATATGGACTGGAAAGCTTCGAAATTGATTTCCCAACTAATACTTTGTCAGCTAAGCCTATTTGAACGGTTAAATTACTGGGGACAACTGCAAAGTGGACCAAAGGATTTTAAACAGAGCTTTCTGGTAATTTTTATTTAGCCTCACCCTATTCCGAGGCTATATCAGTGGGTGCAGACAAACTTTGAATAGTAAATCGTGGTTAATAATATTTATTAAAGGATCGATGCTGACGCCGCTGGATTAGAAATGATTTAATAGGATACAAAATTTTCCTAATAGGGCTTTGCAGACACAAATGTGCACACTCTTTTCCCTTTACTTTCTCTTTCTCTATTTCCTTCCCAACTATTTTGCTGCTACCACTTTTCAGCTAAGTGCTATTTATATTTAATTATATTTTTTCTTTTGTTTTTAGCTGTCGAATGCTTCCTGTCGACACTTTTATTGTTTTGTTGTGTTCCCTTTTTTCCCAGGTTTTCCCATACTTTGACTCATTTCCATTTTGGCTAACCTGATTGCAGTCTCTCCCGACTCTCCCCTTTTATTACCATTCCTTCCCCTATCTTTTTGCCTTAGTTTGGTCTCCCAAGGAGGATGGGTTGATCCCTCAACTCCACTTGCCTACACCACTGTATGCAAGTAATGATAGGAAATGCATTTAGGGCAAATAAGCAGTGCCTAGGTTGGCGCATCTTTTAAGAAGGTAGACCTACTCGGTAGTAGAGTTATTTGTTTCGTAAGTTTAAATTTGAGATGGTCTCATGTAAATCACATGTGATGTTCTCCAAATTTTCTTTTAATAAGATTATATTCTTTTATTGATCCAAACAAACGGAAATGTTTGTTGATTGCATTGTACATATAGGCCTACATTTTCAACACAAAACATAAATATATATTTTAATAAAGTTCTAATTTTTCAAACAAAACAATTTGAATACAATTCATCTACATACAATTATTTCACAAGTGGAAAAAAAAAAAAAAAAAAAACCCTTTCAGAGAACCCCCACCGATCAAGTGAAAAAAAAAAAAAAAAAAAAAAAACAGCCTTTCAGTGAACTCCCTTAGCCATAACAGAGAATTATGATTTCTCTTTACTAATCTTTAGATTTGTGACTTCTAGGGGAGCATGCTAGTAAATTTGTACATATAGCGGAAAAAAATAATTTTTATACCTTTCAGTCCTCGCTCCGAGAGAAATAATTCGCCCGGATTTTATTATTTATTGATTAATTATTGAAATAAGAAACAATTGCTATTTTACCAACCATAATAATATAAGAATATAGCCTACTTTGTAGTCACTACTCGGAGTAGACTTGTTGCATCTTCTAGTTCTAGACCTAAAATCAAAGCAAATAATTTGTCGCATCACAAGTTTCAATAGTAACTGCACAAATTCTTTTACACTTGAAACAAAAGTATCATGTTATGACGTAAATAGCTAAATTGTGTATAGCTTTAACTCGGTAAAATAGGCTGAAAAATTAAATTGTTCATTACAATTATTAAAACGGATCGAAAAAATAAAATGCTTCATACATTGTTTCATAGGACAGCGTCATTTCATGCATGGAATGAACTCTTTTAAACTAAGTTATTAAAATAAATATTTACTGAACGTATGATAATAGTAAATATAGAGCGCAGGATTGATAAATTTATAACAATAGTTTGTTAACAAAAAAAATGAGATGAGGTTCCTTCGTCCTCTTGCTTTTTTGCTTCCAGAAGCAGGTAGTGGTAGAACCCACTGTTATTTGTATCTGTTCTCAATACTGTCAATAGTGAAAAGGCATCGGTTAAAAAGGTCTAAAGTGTGAAAGATTTAGAAGACAAACAGCATTTAGTCTAAAAAGTCTTACTAAAGGGTTTGTCTTCTAAATCTTTCACTTTTCCTGTTAAAAGTTCAAGTTTAACTGGTTTACCAACAACAGTAACAGCTACTACAGAGTTCACTACTTAGACTTCATTATTTTAACTATTATAACTTATGACTATGATGATCACTGTGACTAAAACTAAAACTGTGATTCAATGATCAATGATTCAGTCTCACTGAACCCACTCATTCAGCAGTGAGTACTCACTCAGTCTCAGTGATCAGTGAGAATGTTTCTTCCTAAATTTAAATAATAAACAATTGAATAAGTTGAATTAGTAAGCCTATAACTATAACTTTATATCTATGACTATTATTATTATTATTAAACAGTTTCTGAATTTCCCATTTACTAAAGTAAAAGTAAAGTTACAGTAGTAACTCTAACACTAAGACACTTTATAATTTATAAGATTCCCATTTGGTGCTTCTCACGCCCAGTACACCACCGCCCCTGAACTATATTAATATTCTAATGCCGCACCCCCTTTTACACTGCAGATTTATTACACCAATACCTATAGCCTACCAAACTGGTGGCAGCAATGCAGGAACTTCCCATTTACCAAGCAAGAGACTAATGTTACTTGACAGAACATTCATTCAAAGAAATGGCTAATTGGACCCGGGTCCCCTTAGACTAGGGTGACCAAGCGTCCCATAAAAATGGGATTGTCCAGTTTTTTCACGATCTTACCGTACCCGGTGTCCCGAAAGTCTCTTGGGGTGCCTAAATGTCCCGTTTCCAAAATCAAACATATTTTCAAATCACTAAAACTTCCTAATTTATAATATAACTTAAAGTAATATTTTGGCTAGCTGTGTAGCCAGTACCAGTAGTTATGTGGGCTCACCTGATGGCTGCACTGTTCCCCCTCCACCACTCTGCCGACGCTGCGTAACCGACAGTGTCCCTGCCATAGGTCTTATTTGGATAAATAAATAAGTATTCACTGCAAAATTATTGTTTTCGTTTATGATATGCCTCAGAGTTTAAATTAAATTACAAAAGTGAAGATAAATTTAAAAAGATTTCTAGGTCTCAAAATAGTTAAAATTAGCATATTTCAATAAACAGTTTCCAGTGGAGGCCCCCTGGACCCCTCTTTAGCTGGAGGATATCCCTCCCCCCCCCCCCCAAACAACCCTCCTTAGGTGTGTCCTGTTTTTTCCAGTTCATGATTTGGTCACCCTACATTAGACAAAATCACTATTCGGACCCAGCTCGTCATGTGAGATCTATAATCGGTTATGTGATGGTTATGACGATTACTTCCTGTAGGTTGGTGTCGCTTTATAGCCATTAATATCAATCCAGAAAGGTGTCATGTTTTCAATTCACCAAGACTTTCATGTAGCGCGGAAGAAAAATGAAGAAGAATGTGGCGTGCTTTATGTTAAATAAAGCTCAAAGAAAGTAAGAATACGTTTATTTTTATAATTTTATGTTATTTTTTATTCTATTTTAAATATAGTTCTATGATTATTAACATGACATCAAGATCAAAGTTGCTGGTTTTTCCACTGAGTATCGGAAAAAAGATGTGCATGATTAAAAGAGCTGCTTTTAGTGTTTGAAAACAAAATATCAGTATGCCATTCAGTTATATAATGTCACAATTTAAAATAGCGTTTCAACATAAACTCTTTCTCCCTCTTTTAAGACAAAAATTAAAAAATGAGGACAAAAAACGTATAAAGATAGTAATATGGTCAATAGTTGACCTGGGAAACAGATATGACCTATATACTGTGGAATAATTGCAGGCCCTGCCGCTAACTGCATTTTATCCCTAATGTAATAATGGGAAAAGTCGATGGATAAGACAATCAATGTTGATCAGCCTTCCCTTTTTTTTTTGCGTTCCAGGACATTTTAGATTGCATGCCCAGCCATTATGAGGGTAAATCTGTTGAAAGGTGGGCTGCATATAAGGGGTCGTTCGTAAATTACGTCATGCTAAAAATGACCTTTTTAGACACCCCCCATGTCATGAAGTGTCACAAATTCTCCCCCCCTCCTCCGACCCTTCCCCCCCTGTCACGTCACACCTAAAAAAATTCAAAACATACATAAAATTTTCATAACTAAAATAAGATTTTATTTTATTTTTAAAAAATTTCCCATAATGGATTAAGAGTATTATTAGAAAACTGAGTTTCATAGTACCTATAATATCTGAGGCTATTAACACCTCAAATTAATGTTTTTTAAATTAATTAAAGATTTTTTCAAAGCTAGAAAATTTTTAGATTATGACCCCTTCCCCTGTCACAAAGTGTCAAAAATTCCCCCCCCCCCCCAAATATCTGAGGCTATTAAAACCTCAAATTAATGTTTTTTAAATTAATTAAAGATTTTTTCAAAGCTAGAAAATTTTTAGATTATGACCCCTTCCCCTGTCACAAAGTGTCAAAAATTCCCCCCCCCCCCTTAGCGTGAAGTAATTTGCGAACGACCCCTAAGTTGAAATGGACCACCTGCAACCTGATTCATGAAAGCCATCCCACTGGACAAGAGGTCATTAAGTCATTCCTTACTACTTCCGTACTTACTGTTTATGTCAGAGAAAGGGCAGTAACTCCATTTTGCAATTGATTTACATTTGTAAAATATTTTTTAAGCTGGTAAATATTATTTATTGTTAATGAATTAAGGACAGGACAAATGCACCAAAAACTGGTTTAATAAATACATAACATTACTGGTGAAAAAATAATGAACAATGACCAAAAAATCAATTTTCGGCACCTTGGACAAACAGATGCTACATATAGACACGCTGAAATATAGCACACATATTTTTAAGTGAAACAAGATAAAAACTTGCGGTTTTTATATTGAAATCACGCTGAATCTCAAGGAATGGGAGATTTCATTTCTATTTTTAAATAGAAATGAGAGAGGTGTGTCGCTATGTGCTGGGATGCATTTGGATGCATCCGTGGAAACCCCCAAAGGATGCATTTAGTGGCAACCGCCGGGAATGAATTAAAAACAATGTTTTAACAGGCATACATGAATAGGGTTGGATCCATTTATTTTGCCACAATTACCATAAGTCACATTTTTTGTACATTTTACTACTGCACAGTTTGTCATAAGTGTGCAAAATTATATACAAGTGTTCAGTTAGATCTACCATTATTCAGTTTTTGGTTTTATTTGGTTTCAATACGGTAATTGCAGAATATATTTAGTTTATATCGTATTTCTTTTGTCTTATATCAGTGACACTTTTATCTAGCATAGAAACACAAGCCTTTGGTTTTCAACATTGTCAAGTGATAAAATAAGAAAATTAATCATTGTAATTTTTATTTTAATATATGATTAGAAACTAAATATTTAGAGAAAGTATGTCATTTTAGTGTGAATTATATGTGGGTTTTCCCCAGGTAATGAACTAAGGTAACAAAACAATTTTTAGGTTAAAACAGCAAACGATTATATTTTTTTCTACAGTTTTCAAGATACTACCCTGAAAATAGGAGGCCAAAAATGTCAGGACACTTGATGGATGTGCTAAACATTTAATCATCATTAACCAAAGAAATACAAGAGATGATTGTCAAAAAGGAGGGGAAAATGATGGGCTGAGACATTAGAAATTTGAGACACAAATTCTGTAACGTCATACTCTTGGGCCAAAAGACTTAATATTGCTTAATTGACTTATTAAAAAAAAAAATTAAATGAACTAAAATTAAAATGGACTTTTTTTCACCTTTTTAATATTTTGTAAAATTCTGCCTTGGCTCATTTTTGTTTAAAATAAATTTGTATTTACATTCTTTTTGCAACCCTAAAAAAAGTGTAAGTGTTATAGTTAAATGTATAACTGGTTGTTTGTGCAAGAGATTTGAAACTTCTAACTAAATTATTTTAGAGAAGATACAGGGTATCAAAACTACACTTATGAGTATGTCATCTAAAACTTACACCCATAGTTTTATATCACAGAAATCGCTCTTTTTCTGTTATCAGTATTTTATTTACAATGTGGCATGAATTAGTTGCCTTGAAACCAAACTCCTTTCACAGATCAAATAGTTTATCCTAGTTATCAATTCTTATTTTCATGAAAAAACGAGACAAACAATAGTTAACTGTACCAACAAGGAAGGCGAGAAAGTAAAGAGACAAATGACAAAGGAATGATGTGACCTAAGCCTAAATGAAAGCTTTTATTGGCTGCCTACTGCATACTGGCCCTTAATTTATTTTATGGATTACTGGTGCCCGGTACACAAACTCAAATAACAAACAACCAAACAAAAATGTTCACAAGCCAGTTGAGAAGGGTTTTTTTCTATTAAATTTTAAATCATGCATCGATTAGGTACATCCAGTAGCCAGGTATGGTAGAAAAAAATAGTCCCCCAAAAGAGTCTCTTTTTCATGCTTTATACATTTTATACAATAGCATCCTTCAACTTCAAGATGTTCATTCCAACTACCTTGAGAATTGGGTAAAGTATGAGTATTATTATTGAAAGAAGATTCGATATAACAGGAAAAACAGTCAGTGTCTGGGTGTGTTACTCCCAGTGCCGGGGAAAGGGTCAAAATTTAAAATTGGTGGTTTTGGGTATCTAATTAGTTATGAAATTTGCATTTAGAATACCTAATTAATCCATAAAGTACTGTGTAATTAAATCTTTTACTTTTAACTTAAACAAGACAGATAAATCTAAATTAATAAAGGATTTAATTTTAATTATTACATTAATGTTATTACTTTTCTAAAATTCTAATGAAAATAAATGTATCTTTATCATCTTGATTACTAGATAGAACCTTGATCTACAATACATGGCTAAAAAATAAAATTAGGGGAAAAAATAGAGAAAAAAAACTACTGCTCCTAAGAAATTTAACTAAGCAAAAAGAATAAAACTATGAATCTATGAAATAACAAGGACAAAAAACACAAAGAAATATGTTAATTCTCATGCTACTTGTTACCACACCAGAGTACGAATAGCCATTTAATCTAAACGAACACACTCCGGGTCCGAATAGCCATTTTGTCTAAAGGGACCCAGGTCCGAACAGCCGCAGCGTTCATTCAAGTAACACACTTTATAAGAATCCCAATTAGTGCCTCCCCCCCGCCCCCTTCTCAGGTTCCCAACCACACATGTTTTTCATGTCCCTGAACTATATCAATGTTCTAATGTCCCACCCCATGTTCATACAGTATTTAGATTGAGATCATGTCCTTTAAAAAAAAAAAATCACACACCAATTGCATTTGCAGTATTTTTAAGAACCTCATTTAGCGCAGTTAATGGGAATTTTATTTTGAACATTAGCCTTAGTGATGGATACTGTTACATAAAGAATTATGTTATTTTGATTCCAGAATCATGCATAAAACTGTCAGAATTTTCTTTTCAAATTGAGCCAATAATTTTGAATAATATTTTTTCAGGACCTAAAATAGCCCTTATTATTCTTAATCAACCCATAGATGTACCCCTGCTCAACAATATTTGGTGCAAAAGTAAGTTGTTTTTGACTATAGTCTTTATTAAATAATAATCTGTAGACCTACATATTTGGCTAACTGGGAAATGTTAAGAACAAGATATGGTGATTTCTAATATAGAAAAAAGAGAACATTGACCTATGTATTTTCATATTAATCAAATAAGTAGGCCCAACTACTCGGCTTCACCTAGCACATGTTTTTTTTTTTATACTTTGGAACATGCTCTGGTGCATAGATATTTTGATCCCTTTCTTAAGTTGCCACTAAATGTTTTATATTTTGTTGTTGATGTAGGCACATTCACAGCTGTTACTGACGGAGGAGTGAATCGATTGCACAAGAGCTTTGGAGATAAAAAGGATGAATTTTTACCCAACATTATTACAGGGGACTTTGATTCAGCCACTTCTGCTACTCTAGAGTATTACAAGAACAAGGTGAGGGCTATTGTTTTAAAAGAAATTAAAGGGGGAAAAATTATTAAAATTCTAGTTGGATACTAAGGCTAAAGTTTCAAGTTTGTAAGACAATTTTTTTAAAAATTCCTTGTTGCAGAACCATACTGAGACACATTTTTTATTTAAAACAACCAAACATTATATGGCAATGTTCCAGCGTGTCTTTCAATTATCCCAAATATTTGAAGAAAAAAATGTTTGAGATACATTATACTATTGGGGCATCTCAGTCTGAATTTTTAAATGTTCATTCATATCTTTGTTTTATTTTATATGTAAATGTAAATGTGCCAGTTTTATCTCAGGAAGTGTATCTTAAATGGTAAGATGATTGGAGTTACAGCAATTTGTGTATATTTTTCATCCCGGGCCAAGTTGGCTGCTGTCTTTGATGGTTAATTTTTTTTTTGCTCAGTGTCTACATTCTCCCAAAAATGCCTGTATTACATTATAGAAAATTCAGTTTCATTTAATTATCTACAGCAGAGTCAATAGCTGTCTCACTTGATAGATGAGTCAAATTCCACTTGTCTATTTATCTAATCTATTGCAGGCCACAAATGGGAAACTTGTACCTCTTGGCAGAGATGCAGACAAAGTAAAAATCACATCACAGGACCAATAATTTCTGCTTGAAAAGCTTTTAACAGCTGTTGAAGTAAAGAAGACATTAAGTTATGCTTCAAATAAATCACAAATAGTATTTCTTCAATAGGTCAATTATGGTTTGATATTGAGATTATTTGAGATTAATAGGAAATTGAATCCCAAAATCCAAGAGCTGAAACAATTTCTCAGACATTACAAATCTCAGGAACCCTTTATGAGATTAACTTTTAATGACATTTTGCTACATGCCCACTATGCTACCTGCTACCGGTACATGCCCACTAATCTACCGGTACATGCCCACTATGCCATCTTCTTCTGGTACATGCCGACTATGCTACCTGCTATCGGTACATGCCCACTATGCTACTGGTACATGCCCACTATACTATCTTCTTCTGGTACATGCCCACTATTCTACCTGCTACTGGTACATGCCCACTATGCTACCGGTACATGCCCACTATGCTACCGGTACATGCCCACTATGCTACCGGTACATGCCCACTATGCTACCGGTACATGCCCACTATGCTACCGGTACATGACCACTATGCTACCGGTACATGCCCACTATGCTACCGGTACATGCCCACTATGCTACCGGTACATGCCCACTATGCTACCGGTACATGCCCACTATGCTACTGGTATATGCCCACTTTGCTACCGGTACATGCCCACTATGTCATTAATGGCTTGATCATATGTTTTTAATTTTTGCTTAATATCATTTCAGAATGTTGATATAGTGGCCACACCAGACCAAAATGAAACAGATTTCACCAAATGTTTGAGGATTGTTACAGAAAGAATGGATAAAAACACGGTTAGAGGATTTTCTTTAGTCATATGAAATTATTATTTTGTACCGGTATACATGTAAGTAAATTAACATAAAATTTGTAATACCCTCTGAATTTTAATACAGTAGAGTGTCAAGTATCCAAATGCAGACTGTCCAAAGCGTTGGTTATCTGTTACTTTTATTAGGCTGTTGTTATTATTATTGTTGTTCGTCCGTCGAGGATCGACGATGACCATCGAGTCGTCTGGTGACTGATGACTTGCGCGGGTGACTTTTGTTTAAAGTGAGGAAGAGTTGCGCAGCGTCAACCTCACTCTCTCGTCCGGGCCCACCATATCCAGTGGCAAGACTCTATGTCAAGACGACCAGGGATGGGTACGGTTGCAGGAATGGACATTGTATGCGCCTTACGGGACTCCAACTCCGGGTTTGAATTCAGAGTTTCCTTCTCTTAGATGAGTTGCCGACCAAGGTTAACGAGTCTCATCCACCCGGGTTGATGTTTTTGTTATTATTATTATTGTACGCAATATGCATGACATGGAAATTTGTGTACAAAAATTGGAAAACAAAGCAGACCCCTGTTGCAAAATCCAGGTAAATTCTAGAAACATGCTGGCACTAATGTAAGAATATTTTGCATTCTTTCCACAAATTTTGTGTGTCCAGCCCCCCTGTAGCAGTGTTTGGTTATATGCAAAGTTTGCCATCCACAACACCCCAGATCCCATTTTTTCAGAAAATCAAAGCTCTCCTGGAAAAGTTTATGATACTCATATTTAAAAGAAATTTTTTATTTCTCTCATTCTGATTTTTAAAAGATGTTTAATGTAAAATTATTGTAAAATTGTAAACTTTTCAATTGGAAATCTCAGATTTCTAATTCAAATAGTTATTTATATTTTAGTTATAGATTCAATGCTCATGTTAGTACTTTCTCTATGTGGCATGCATGTCAACAGCTGTGGTTATTGCTATCTCAAGACCCAGCCAATTCTGGATCTAGTTCATGGGTCGGTTCATATCAAGTTTTAATTGTGTTTGTTGACTTGAACAGTAAACTCAAAGAGACAAAAATGATTTTATTACAATTTTTCTTTTTTTAAATCACGTTTGAATATCATTCATACATCCATGCTGCTTCTGCTTATTTTTGAGAGTTGATTTTCAGCATCCTTCATTTGAATACCAAATAATGTAATTATTTTTTTGAGAATGACATGAGGTTAGCATTAACAAAATCTGAAAATGTAAAATATCTTATTAACAAAATTTTAATCATTGCGTTAGACATATCATAAATTAAGGTTATTAAAATTATTTTGAATGATATTTTACCGAGAATCCTATTTTAATTTGTTTCTCTTATGCCATTAAAAATACATTTCGATGTGTCTTTGGATCACGGGTCACTTTAATGTATTTGGTTCACTTTGCTGCTATAAAATGGAGTTGCAAACAAAAATGTTTAGAAACATTTGCTCTAGCTAGTACATTCATTTAGCTATGCTGGGTAATGTTGAAATATTTTGTTGGTGTAATTGCATGCATATGTTAACAGCTTTAACAGCTTTGGTACTTGTTATTTCAAGACCCAGCAGATTGTTGCTGTGGGAGCATTTGGAGGACGCATTGACCACACTCTGGCTAATATGAACACATTGTTTACAGCTCTTTCAATGACCAAAGTCCCTGTCATGCTACTGTCAGAATCATCACTTGGACTTTTGTTAGACAAGGTAAACAGCATATTTGTATGTTAGTGGACTCTTTTGAAGATGCATCGTAAAAGAGGGAGATCATCTGGTGTAGTTGTAAAGAATTAGGGAAGCATTGAATGTTTTTTGCTTCATTAATTATTTTAAAAAATAAATCTCAACAGGGTGATCACACATTGCGATGTGATACTGGACTGGAAGGGGAATGGTGCGGTTTAATTCCATTGGGTCAGCCTGCAGACCATGTGACCACCACAGGCCTTAAATACAACCTGAGTAAGTTTGAGTTCATCTGTAAGAAAAGATAATTCAAATTGTTATTAAGACATAAAATAGATTCATAGCAAACACAGAGTAAATCACGGCAGCCAACAGTTGATGTCAACGTCTGTCATTATTGAATGACTTCAATGTAGGCACATGACTTGAGCTAAGCATTGGAGCACATAGGTCAAAATCAAAGGTCATATTCTGGATTAATTAATTACATCTTGAATGAGTGTGGAAATAATTTTATTAATTAAAAGGAATTTACTGAATTGGTAAATAATTTATTTCTTCTTATTTCTCCTCTATGATATTTGGATTCAAAGAATGATAACTAATATTTTAATTTAGTTTCAACAACAGTCAACTTGTGGGTCAATGTGGGGTAGAATACACTCTCAGAAATTCTTTTTGTCTTTATTTTTTTTATATGAAAGGAGCAATGTGTTATTTCTGGAAAATGATTTTATATTGTAAAAAGTACCTGAAATATATTTTCAATTTTAGCTGATGACCGAATGAGTTTTGGGGAGCTAATCAGCACGTCCAACACATTGGCAGACACCACTGTGACTGTTACAACTGACCAACCATTACTGTGGGTCATGGAGTACAAAGAAGTCAAATGAGTTACATCCAGTTGATGAGCACATCAAAGACATTGGTATTAGCCACTGTGACTTTAAAATTGACAGACAGTGGGTTTGAAGGGAGTTTAATTCATTATCTTCCCTCTCACCGACGATGGTGCCTTAAATGTTGAAGGGAGGAAACCTAAAAAATTTCTATGAAAAGTGTTGGATACTTTTAGTTTAGATTGACGATCAGAGTTTGTGTAAGATTTAAGTTTATTAAATCCATGATATCCATAAAATTATGTAATAATTTTGAATTAATTAATTAAATCGGTGGTTCTCAACATTTTTAAACCCTCTACAAGCCAAGCCTCCTGGGCCTTTTCTACTCCTTGTGACCAAGCAAAGGGGCATTAATCTATTTCTAATCAAGAGTTCTTCTTCTTATCAATCCACTAAGAATAAACTAAGAGCAGGAGAGCAGTGGATTTGTAATTAAGAAACAAATGACACTTTAGCTTCTGTATTTAAATTGCCTTGGCATTAGTTAAAACTGAATACCCTTGAGATGTAGAAGAAACCAATAATGAACATTTCCGTTTGAATACCAGGAGCTGGTTGTGGAGGCAATGTGCTAAATAGCCACAGTAAACAAAATTAAGTAGGTGGTTTCTTGAATGTCAACGTAACCTTTTGTTGATTTAGTTTATTTTAATGGATTGCTTGATTTACACATTGTCATAGCCAGGAAAAGTAATTGTCATAGCCAACAATTGTAATCTTATAAATAAACAATAAATCATGTCTTCCCAAAGAAATAATAATGGGAATCTTTGCGGGATGATTTCTGTTTGGGGATATTTTCTGGTGCTGGTCATATTGTGGATGATTGTGCATTTTTTGCAGAAAATAGTCATGGGGTGCAGTTGAGTGGGGGGGATTTGTTATTAACTATAAAATCTCATTTTTAAATTTATGTTAAACTATATTTTTAGTACTTTATAGGACCATGCACACATATAATGGGTAGGGGGTGGTGTATTATTGTGTTATATGGGATAGCGAGCAATGTTAAATAACAATTCTTTTTTTATTTTTTTAATCAATTCTCATTTTTGCAAAATTTCTGATGTTCACATTCACGCAATTAGCCTAGATCAGGCCTGCACAACATATGGCCCCGCGGGCCGCATATGGCCCGCCAGCAGCCACTTTGTGGCCAGCGAGATATCGAAATATTCTTTATTCGTATTATTTTCTAAATAGCTTTTCCCGTCCTATTTTCTTTTGGCCCGCACAAGTCCTGTCCTGTTTTCTCTTGGCCCACACAAGTTTTTCATAAAGTATTACGGCCCACCTTACATTTTGAGTTGTGCGGGCCTGGCCTAGATCATTCAAAACTAAAATTTAATTTTTGCATACAAAAATATGCCTTTTTTATATGATAATCATCCATCTTTTAGCTTGAGATTTGCTTTGTTTCAACTTGTTTTTTCAACTAGAAATGTTATATAATATTAGGTGGAGGGTGCCAATGGAAATGTTATTATAATGTTATTAGAGATAAATATGTCATATTTTATTTGACATAATGTGTGCACGGCTCCTGTTATTCCAACTGTAGGCCTCAGTTTTTTCACACAATGTGTCAACTAGGGCTGGAGCTTAAAATTGAGATGTTGCAAAAAGAAAATTCATTGATTAATCGGAAAATTTAAGGGTGCAGCTCATAATCAGGAGTGGTTTATACTCGGGACTAAACTGTATTTATTGACTAAAAAAAACCATTTGAATATTTATTTTTCTAAATATATGTACATTTTAGATTAAAACTCTTGAATTTGTTTTAATTCATTCCAGTACCGGGATATAAATTTATGGTGGAAAAAAAAAAAGAAGATTTTTATGCATTTTAAGATAACTCAAACATCTTTTGTGGAAGAACTGGAAATTGGTCTGTTTGTATTAATAAATTCTGATGAAATGAATTGTGTTTGTATAAACCAATAGCTATTGGCTAAAATTGAAGAACATCTCATGTCTTGATCATTGTTTTTATTGCACTTAATTACAATTAAAACCAGGAAGTTAACATTCATGATTTGGTAAAAATGAGAGTAAAAAGGTATTGATTTGAAGTGAGTCCATTTTCTAAGTTCCCTAAATAATTGTATTGAATCTAATTTTTGTCTCCTTTCCCCTGCCCCATAATTGAGTATAAACAAAGGTCACATGTCAATGGGTGTTGATTAATTTGCCATAATAGTTTGTGACAGAATGCTGGTAAGGATTGAACATTTTATTTAACAGCTTTTTAAAATATGCTTTTAACAGCTTTTCCTTGATATAAATCCACATGTGTATGATACCAATGATATGTCTTTGTTAAAAAATATTAAAAATTTTTTTTGACTATTTTAATTTAAATTTAAGTGATATAACTATTTGGCTAGTTAACTCAAATTATGTTTTAGTGGTGCATTTTTAAATGTTAAAGAATAATTGGCAAACAAAAGTTTCATTTATCTCGATGTCCTAGTTGATAACATTTGATCTCTGACATTCAAGCTGAGTCAGAATAGTTAATTATTTAGTGAAACATTTCTGATTTTACTTTTTGGAGAATGTGTTATCTGATAATTTGATGCACCATATCTTTGACAAATACTTATGGCTGTGTGATGTTTACTATGTTATTTAGCTACATTGTCTTTGAATGCATAAAATTGTATGCTTAATTCTATTGGAGTTGCAATTACATTAGGTAAAAAAATATTAATTTACATATTAAACCTCAGATATGGGACCATAACATATTTCTTTTTTTGCTTTTACTATTTTTGACTTTCTTCTTCTAGATATCTGTCACATTCTATTGTATTACATTTATTTAAATAATTTAACTCTAGATCCAGGTTAAGACAAGCTCATAGCAGGCAAAGTTAGGTTTTAAAGTTGAATAATGTCTATTAATTTTTTTTGAACCACAAGTTTCACAAAAGTTTTATCATTAAAAATAAACACTTTTAATATAAAAAAACACAACTGAATGTCAAATGAACACTATTTGTAATTATTTGTAATATATATATGTCTAAATTCTGATTACTACAATAATTTTGAACCTCCAGACTGTGAGGTCCTAAACTATATTTTTAGATCAAAAAAGGTGAAGCACAATGCAACATGTATCCTCTGTGTGACAAATTACATTTTGAAACAAAGAAGAAGATTGTTACAAAAACATTTTATTTTGACATGAAATTATTTTACATGTGAACTGATGAAAATGATGATTTGAACGACTTTCTATGACTACATTTCCCCACATTCGGAAACTGTGACTGGAATTTTGGGTTTATTGTTGGGTCCAACAGGAACATTTTCAATCTTACGTAAAACTAAGTGTCCATCAATAACTTTACCTGGATGGGAGAAATGATAAAGAGATTCATATAAAACAAACTGCAAATATAAAAAAATTATATAGTAATGAATAAAAGTGGCCTGTCCTATGATTACCAAATTAAAGAATTAAAAGCCTCAAGAATTTTCCTGTCTGTCTTGTCAGATCATACAGATATTAAAACTCCTGTCTTATATATTTTGGCCCTGTGTCTTGATAATGTCACCAAAATCACATTTCATAATGGGATATCTCTTATATAAATATTTTGCTTCTGGTGTGTCCTGCTTCCTTTTCGAAATCGACCTCTCCACAATTCCACCTTTTATATTATAGTGGTGAGTGAAAAAGAAAGGCTGTCATGCCTACATGTGAACTCAGAAAAAAAATCGGGGGGGGGGCTCCCGAGACACGGCCACCACAAGTCATTTCGAAATAGCTAAATTACCAATTACCGTTAGTCTGTACAGACAATCATCTCCGGTCTTGCACAAATAAAAAAAAAAAGGGGGGGGGGGGGGGGGGGGTTGACACTATTATATTAATCAATAAAGAGCCACAGGTATTGTGTAGGACTGTCTGTGGGACTTTGTTTAAAGGCCAGCATATATCATAGAAAATGAGGAGTTAACTCTTTTCGTAACACTAGGACCCAGCAGCAGGTATTTTCTCAAAAAACTACATTCGGTTAAGCCCTAGTATTATATACTGCCACAATACAAGATATTTTCCTGCACTTAAAAAAAAATTATAACTCACCAAAGACAACATGTTTACCATCAAGAAATTCACATTTGGCGCAAGTTATAAAAAACTGGCAACCATTTGTGTCTCTGCCACTGTTAGCCTGTACAAAAAAAAAATTTGTTTGTTCACATTTCTGATGTAAAAGCATTTTCTAATACAATTTAAGTTCCCATTAATGATGCTTAACCTAGTAGAGTTCAGTTGAAAAAAAAAATTGTAATAATTTCTAATATATAAGAAATATAACTAACCATTGATAGTATTCCCGCACATTCATGTTTCTTTTTGAAATTTTCATCAGCAAATGGTCTGCCTGCATATATACTAGTCATTCCTGTTCCATCACCCTTGAAAAAAACAAAAGAAATAATGCAAACTTTTTATTTTCATGAAAAAATTGATGAAATCTAGGATTTCCTATTCCTAGATTTCCTGTTTTAAATTTAAACCAATACACCTCTTTGAAATGAATAAGTCAATCAAATTTTTATATTGAGTGAAATTAAATTATGAAAAACTGAATGTGCATAGTCTACTTTGGTCAACTTAAAACTGGTTGCTATGGGTTTTTTTTTAAAAAAAAGAAGGAAAACACTTTTTTTTTTTAAAGGATTAATAATTATTACTTACATTGACAAAATCACCACCCTGAACCATAAAATCTTTGATGACTCTGAAAGAAACAAAAAGAAATATTTACTGGTATTTAAAACCTCACAAAAAAAGAATCAAACTGCCAATCTACTCAGCATTCTTACTCAATATGCTGCCTTATGACAGTAAAGCGTGGCACAAATTTGTTACAAGTTGAAAATCAAGGACAATCTATGCTGTGTACTGGCAGGGGGATAAGACAAACTGAATGGCAGCATTTGAGCTTTGAGTTTTGAGGATATGAGCTTTATGGATGTGTGATAGACATATGAATGGGAGGGAATTGACGAAGACCGTTAGGTAGGGAGGTAGATTAATAAGACACAAACACTTTGTGTCAATATAACAACATATGTTAAGCTTTAATAATAATTTTACATAATACATAAATGTTTCGGCAAATGCCTTCATCAGTATAACAACAAAACATTTAAATAAGTATACATTAAATTTACATAATATATATATGCACACGCAAGGAGTTGCTTTGATGTTGTCAAGGATGGCACATGAGACATTGATTGGATGGGAAGCCCATGGACCAAGAATAATAACTGCAACATTCCGAACCAAGAAAAAGAAAATAAAGAGGAAAATAATACAGTGTTACGCACCACCAATGATAGCAAGGAAGACGAGAAAGAAACATTCTACAATACACTACAAGCTATAATAGAAACATTCCCAAGTAGAGACCTAAACATCTTAATGGGAGAACTAAACGCCAAGACCGGAAAAGAAAACAGTGGGTATGAGGAAATCATGGGACGCCATGGTGTAGGAGAGAGGAATGAGACCGGTGAGAAACTAGCAGACTTCTGCGCTCAAATGAGATTGTTATTGGAGGAAGCGAATTTCAACATAAAAACATCCACAAGATAACATGGGTATCCCCAGACAACAAAACGCAAAACCAAATAGATCACATATGTATCAGCAAAAAGTCTCTAAAATATGTATGAGCAAAAAGAGGAGCTGATGTCGCATCAGATCATCGTCTTGTTTGGGCGAGACTCAAGTTAAAATTGAAGAAAAACTGCTAAGCAAACAAAATTCAATGTAGCTCTTCTGGCAAATGAGCATAAAAGAGAGGAATTCAGTGCTACCTTAAGAAATAAGTTCCAAGCCTTGGAAGACCAAACAGAAGATGACCAGGTAGAACACAAATGGCAAAATATAAAGATAGCTGTAACATCCACTTGCCAAGAGGTTTTAGGATCAGTGAAGCAGAAACACAAAGAATAGCTCTCACTTAACACACTGCAAAAAATGAAAGAGAGAAAAGAAATGAGCAGTCGCACCAGGGTGGAGAAAATGAAAGCGCAAGAGAAATGTCAAGAAGCAAACCGAAAGGTTAAAAACAGCATAAAAAAGATAAAAATGCCTATATAGATGGCCTAGCATCAACAACAGAATAAGCAGCCAGCAAGGGCAACTTGAAACAGCTCTATGACATAACAAAAAAGCTGTCAGGAAGATACAAAAGTCCAGAGAGACCTGTCAAAGATAAAGAAGGTAGATCATTTGCGTCTATTGCCTCAAGCCTTTCAACCCCCAGTACATGATTTCCTCACAAAGTAGCACATGCTAATCAGTGAAATACCCTCATCAACACCAGGCACAGAAACGTTGCAAATCCCCTCTACAAACATAGGAGCCAAAATGATCAATAAATTGATCGTGGGCCCTTAATATATAGAAGAAAAGAAGAAAGGAAAGAGCAACAAAAAAGATGGGTGGAATACTTTAGGGAACTATTAAACAGACCCCCACCCACAGACACACCAGACATACAACCAGCAAATGAAGACCTACAAATAGAAGGAAATGCACCAAATAAGAAAGAAATAGCTCTGGCCATCAACCAGTCAGGGTAAAAAGGCATAAAGAAAGAAATATATTATATCCTACCTAACAAAAGAGAACAAATAGGAGTGGGCGCAAAACCAGACAGAAACAAAGTAAAGAAGAATGGAAAGGAAGTGATTCAAAGTAAAATGTAAAAAACCAAACAGGAAAAAGACATGCCAGCTACGTAAAATAGTGGATTTAGTTTAACCTGTATGGAGTTAATGTACCAAATCTTGTTATTTATTTATTCTCCATATAGATCCTATCTGGTGTGTTACTAGTATACAGTATACCAGTAGGGAAGATAGCTTTTAAGAGGCCAGTGAGGTAAGTACAAAAACCGATGAGCAAAACGGATAAATAAAGTACAAAAGCATTCAACATTCACCTGTGAAATGCAGCAGAGGCTGTAACCAGATATGCAAATTAAAAACTTCATCATCTTTTACCTTAGACAGACAGATGATATGTATACACGGGCCTACATAGCTTGGCTGTAGTAATTTAACAAACAACATACAATTTAACATTTTCATTATATTTACATTATCAAAATAAGAAAATACATTCATTAATACAAAAAAGTTTTTTTAAAGGAATCTACCTGTGAAAAATGGAACCTTTGTAACCTATTGGTTTCCCATCTCTTCTGTATTCTCCTGTACAAAGCTGTCTGCAAAAAAAAATAAAAACACATTATATTTTAAAGATTGCATTGTATGAATGCACAAAATGTAACTTTATAATCTAAGATATTTACATATTGACCACTAATTCAACTAGGCAGGGAATTGAAATACAGCTAACCACTGAAATGATGTTTAAAAACACCCAACTTGGAAGAACCAAATTAATTTAAATGGTGCTTGTGAAAAGATACAAATCATTTAACTCAAAAATTGTCATCAATTCATAGGATAACAAAGATCATAAGTACAAAAATTGCCTAGATTACTTTTTTGATTTTATTATATGAGCTGACAAAAATAACCTTTAACAAAACAAGCTTTATGTACCTGAAGTTTTCAGCTGTTTTCGGTACTACATCTGAAAACAATTCAAATTTAATTCTTCCAGCCTCCTGGAATACAAAAATGAATGAATTTATATTTCACAATCCCAATAGTAATATTCATTGCAAAGAAAATAGAAAATTAAAAGCAATAAAAAAATGTATGTAATTTTTTTAAACATAATAATATGCCTATATTTAATTTTAAGCAGGCAGCAGTAAGAATTGCTTACTGTATTTTATTCTTTTTTAATTTATTATTTTAATCCAGCTGGGAACTTCCAATCCAGTGGGTGAAACTAATACTGTAAAAAAGTAAGCTGGACTTGGAATGAGGGATGCAATAGGGGATTAGGCTCACCAAATATCCAGGAATTATCAATGCTTCGTCATTGTATGAATTTTGCAAAAAAGACATTTAAGTGCATGCTTCAGGACATTATTACAATGAAGCATATTTAAAACATAGTTGCACAAACTTAAACTTTGAGCAAATCAATGGAGAGTCTACCTCTATTAAAATCCATCTCTTCTCAGCCCCATCAAGTAGATAATATATTGGATAAAATGACAAGGGTGGAGATCTTATTTGTAAACTTCATTGCAATCACATCTATTTTACAGCGCAAAATAAAAAATTTCACTTATAATTTTCAAACCAATCAAGGAATTGTAAAGAAGGCACATTTTGCCTGCATTAAAAACTTTGATAGTTAAAAGAAAAAGTTATATATTATACTTTCTTCTATTTTTTTTCCTCTACAATTTTTCATGCTAATGTAGTTTTTTGGTGGCTTTTAGTAGTTTTCTTTATCCCAAAGGTTGGCATGTACTTACTTGTATGCACTTACTACTCCTATAGAATAGAACTTTTATTCATAGTCTTATTTACACTCTTCACTTCACTGTTAAGAAAATGATGCCATTCATAAATGATATAACACTACTTTTATTTGATTTTTTTCTCCCACCCCCCCCCATTTTTTCTCCCCCCCCCCCCCCAAACCATAACACAAATTACACACTTTTAACCCACATGGCTTTAAATTTGGAACCCCCCCCCCCCCGTGGCATGATGTTGGCTAGAAGTTTATCATTCATGCTCAACAAATTGAATTAGCATCTTAATCTTAGTTAATAATAGTACTCACAGTACAGTAGCCTGTTTTTAGAGTGATAGCTAAACTAAAGTCGCTTATAATTATGGGAAGCGTTATACGCAGTCGGCTGCGTATAACCCTGAGGGTTATTCCCAGCCGACTGCGTTTAACTCTCAGGGTTATACGCAGTCGGCTGGGAATTTAGCCAAATAAGGTTTATTATCACTTGTTTGGCAATTTAAAAAAAAAAGTATTATGCGTAATGAGCTGCATGATGGGTTGTTTTGAACTAGAACTTTTAATGTGTTTAACGTAAAATTTTAATTGAATTAATTTTAATTAATATTGAAATTGATGATAGCAATAGTATTAGTATTAGTATTAGTGCTATTATTAGTATTATTGCTTGTATCTTATATATTATAATTATAAGTATAAGTCAAAGTGTACATTTCTTAGAGTCTAAGCCTAAGTCTTAGATTTTTTTTAAAGGCATTTCCATGGTCTAAGTCTAGTTATGTATTTTGATTGATTAGGTTTTTATATGTTACTATGACTATGTCTATATGGTTGGTTTTACTGACTAATTCAGGAAATACATTCTATTTATCTTTTTTAAAATTTTATCATTTATGATTTTTTTTTTTTTGATGACCTAAATGTAACAGTTTTCAGCTTCCATGCAAAACTATAACTGTGTGAAAGTATTACTTACACTGCCCCCTCTACAGAACCCCTGCCCCTACAGCGATTTTTATCCTGCTACTCTCAACCCATGATTATTTTTATTACTGTACCAGTGAAACATGATTTTATCTGCCACAAAATTAGTTAACAACACAAACATATATTTGATAATTATAAGTATAACAATATTAACATTAGATTGGTCAAGTTAATAATTCTTCTCATGTTTTAACATTTTTTAGCCAAAAAAAGTATAACAATAAGCCTAGTTGTTGCTTCATTCTCGAGAAAAAACATAGCAACCAACGCGTAATCATGCTTGTTATTCATGGCTTGCCGTTGGCTGGAATTGAACTCAAGACCACCAACTTGAGGTTTGGTCAGTTTAGACCATTCGACCACACAGTCACCCCGATATCAAGGCACCCTTATTGATTGATAGTGTAACACAGCAAGAATATAGACGTCACGTGACTTGCCGACTGCGTATAACTCTCAGGGTTATACGCAGTCGGCTGCGCATAACCACTTCGTATAATTATAAAGGAAAAAAGTTTAAGCCTTAAACTTTTAAGGCTAAAGGCTGGCTAAGGCTGTGGTACTGTACAGTTTTGACTGCACCATGACCATACTATACTAAAACTGAGTACTCATCAACTACACTTGTAGACCAACTACACTTGTAGACCAACTACACTTGTAGACCAACTACACTTGTAGACTACACTAGAAATTAGTACCAGTACTAGTACTAGGCCCACCTACAACTAAAGACAAATTTAATTATTTAATTTAACGAAATGGTTCCTTCCGATCTGGTGGAGAAGACCAGAACAGTGATTTAGGTTGGGCTTAGTTTAATTAAGTTTATACAAAAATATTTAAAATGTTATTGTTTGTAAAACTAAATTTGGTATCAAATGAATGGACTATCTGTTTGTAAACTTACTTCTATTCAGTTTAATCAAAATAAACTACCACAACAAATCATTCACAAATGACATCCCAATCTAAAGCCCGGGTCCGTATCTTAATCTTAGTTTCTTAGTATAGTATTACCGCTATTCCTAGCTGTGGTAGTGGTAGCTTAGTATTAGTTAGCTAGGCTAGGCACTGAACTGCCTAGTCTAGTCTAGTCTAGGCCCTATACACTTACTGTGCTTCCTATTGCAATGTCAAAGAATACAATTGGGTTTGGATGTTGGTGTGACATCCTTCTTTTTCGAATTTTAACTTAAAATATATTTATTAACTATACAACATAGGCTATGGCTATAACTATAGGTTTAATTTAAACTGGTGAGAAATGAAATTGCAGCTTGTAAAAACAATACAGTATTTCGGTAACAATCCGCTGCCAATTTTTAAAAAACATCTGAGCACTCTATTTACCGACAGTCCACAAACGACTTGTATGTGAAACTTGTTGCTGAATTTAAGGGTTCTGTTAAATTTAAATTATATGTTAAATACATTTTAAAAATAAAAAAAATTATTATATTATTTTGTGTGATTTTTAAATAGATTATTATTTAATGTAAAAAGGAAACCTCAGTCCTTAACTTCTTTTATTTGGCATTGACTATTGTTGCCGTATACTATCGGGAATGGGCAACCTACGCCGTAAATGGCCTACGCAGGACCGTCTTATCCAAAATAGAATGAGTAAAACAAAGCAGAGTTAAACCTGAAAAAGAAACGCAACAAAACAACGAACGTGTTGGCGGGAAGCCTTCGTCAGCGAACAAAACAACAGAAAAAAAAAACAGTATAAAAGAAATGGCACTTAAAGCTTAGAAGTAGTATCGGTGGGCAGCAAATGTGCCGTGTGGCTGGAAAATAATCCCTACTTTGTTTTACTCATTTTATATTGTGCTAACCTGATTGCAGTCTCTCCCCTTATTACCCTTATCCAATATATGCACAATAGTCAGGAGACCCTGTGCATAGAGCGAACGAACATACAGGGGCTTACGAAAGTCTAAAAATGTATCCTAATGTAACAAAAACAAAACTGAAGATATTTTTTAATTTCATTTAAATTTATTTTAGACTATCATACAGATTTATAAAATTCTTTGTACTGAAATAATATGAATAGTGAATAGGTGATATTAATATTAACTTTTTTTGCACTTGCATTATCAAGTTTCAAATCTTCAAATGTCATCTACCGCATTAATTCATGTGTGTGGTGGGGGGGGGGGGGGGGGCTAGGGATGATGGTCAGGCTTGCCCCATCATTGAACGCAGATACATTTTGTTTTTATCAACGTCAGTTTCACCTTCTGAACGTTTGCATAATAAAGAGAGATAAATAGAGAGATAAACAGAGAGATAAATAAGAGATAAATAGAGAAATAAACAGAGAGATAAATAGAGAGATAAATAGAGAGATAAATAGAGAGATAAACCCTAACGACAATATTAATATTAGGAAAACGTGCAACTTGATTATTTTCTATTTGCAGTTAAATCTAATCAGACACAGATTTACTGTCAGCAAACATTTGAGAAAACAGCACAAAAAAAAAAAAACAACAAAAAACAAAAAAACAACAAACTCATCGGTAAATTCGTCTTCGTGATCTGATGGATACAGCCAAATTAACGCCTTTGATTTATGATTTAGCCACTACTTCATCACTTGGCTGACTGACAGAGGTCTGTCAAGAAGATCGTTAAACCTTTCGTCAAATATTTTGTAAGCTGCTCTCCGTGTTTTTTTTTTTTTTTTTTTTTTTTTTTTTTTACCCCCCTTTTTTTTTTTCCCGGGGGGAAAAGTAAAAAGACGATTTTTAGCACCCTTTGTCTTTGTGAAGCAGGCCTTTATGAAATTTTATAGCTTAATTCACTATTATGGTTCTATCTAAAGACGACTTTGGCACCCCTCTAATTTAGATGCCAGTTGATATTCGCTGCACGCTCATTGGCTCATTACCGAGGGCAAAGTGGCACCCAGGGTGATGTAGCGTGAGTAGATCCTGGGAGCCACCAGGCCCGCTAAACAGCCAGCGGTGAAAACACGAGACGCAATTTGTTTACTGTGACCTAATAAATGTATAAAGATTAATTAATTATTTTTTCGTGGGTGTGGGGTGGGGGGTGGTGTCCGAAAGCTGAGTGTACACACGCCTTAAGCGTGTAACGGTTACCAACGGGCAGCGCTTCTTTCAGACACTTTCCTCCTGGGGGGGAGGGGGTTTCAGATTTTTTTTTGGAGGGGGGGGAGGGCCAGCGGAAAGAGACGTAGCTAAGGTGGGGGGTGGTGCCCGAAAGCTGAGTGTACACACGCCTTAAGCGTGTAACGGTTACCAACGGGCAGCGCTTCTTTCAGACACTTTCCTCCTGGGGGGGAGGGGGTTTCAGATTTTTTTTTGGAGGGGGGGGAGTGCCAGCGGAAAGAGACGTAGCTAAGGTGGGCATATGTCACCCGGGCGCCAAAGAGTGGAGGCACTAAATGGGCTTTTGTTGCATTATTGGATGAAAATAATGGATTTCAGAGGTAGGGGGTGTAAAAAAAGAATCTTTTTCATTGGCACCAAACACTCACGCCTGTGACGTAAACAGCGGTTTTTTTTTGGGGGGGGGGGGCGAATAGTTGGTCTGCCCAGGGGTCATTTTTTTATATTGAGAGTTTATATTGTGAAAGGTGGCGTGGCAAAGTGTTAACCCGGCTAAAGTGGCGCCAACACTATAGGCACGCCTATAGTTGGGCAGTGGATAGATCGGCGCCAAAATGGGTTGTCAGGGCAAGGCAATACTGCAATCTTTATCAGTCATAACAGAGGTGAAATTGTTCAAATAGTAGTGACTAATATTTTATAATGCACAATCACAATACGAAATACATTTCATGAAAATCCGAACATACTTTGAACTATTATCATATTAATCTCAATACTTCAATTACTAGCACCTCTGGATAATGCTCTCTACTTCTTAAACTGCATAATGTATCAACACATTATAAACTATTCAATGTTCTTATATATCTTCGTGAATTCAAACATTTTTATTCTACTTTCATCTTGTATTTCTTTTCTTGCTCTCCTCGTCTGATTGGCCAGTTTTTCTCAAGTCCCAATACTCTGTATATTCTATAAATAATAACTCCAATACTACTTATCTCCCATATATTCATATCTATATCTGTGACACAAGGTGTTATGTTATTTTCATATGGTCTGCAAAAAAATCAGAACTTTTATTGAGTACCCGAACAACTTCGCACGGTTCATTTGAACATTTTTAAAAACAAAATTCGATAGAATTATGATGAGGTTGAGTAACAAGAGATTTCGTCAAATTTGAACTTTTTCATTTACTATTTACATATTGAGATGATTCTGTAATATGCAAACATTTATTAAATGATATAAAAGGCATACATTCAGTTGAACTATCCTAATAAGGAAGTGATCTTGGGACTATTGTCAATAAATTTTCAGGGGCGTCCTAGGAGCTGTCAGAAGTACAATGTCATTTTGTACTTTTCCCTCTCCTACATGTGATATTCTAGCGGTGCATGCATCCACAACATTCTTACATTATGGCTAAAAATCCCATATCCACGGTAGACACCTTCCATTGGATGAGCTACCGAGACCATCTAAGGTAGACACACAAACATGAGCTACCATCCAAGGTAGACACACAAACATGAGCTAACATCTAAGGTAGACACACAAATATTAGCTACCATCCATAAGGGAGACACGCAAATATGAGCTATACCATACAAGGTAGACACACAAACATGAGCTACCATCCAAGGTAGACACATTCCATTACACGGACTACCATCCAAGGTAGACACCTTCCATTATGATTAACCTTTTAGAAGTATCCAAGAAGTATTTTTTAAAAGAAGTATTCGAATTTATAAAATTTGGAAACGTGCTGTCCACTGACCTTTAAATCAAATTAAATGCCAAAATCTTTCAATATTCATTAACAATATGTAAAGCATGGGATTGAGTCTACTAGAAGCGCGAGGCCCCATTGAAGGGGTGAGGACTTGGGCAGCACTGGTAGACAACATGTCTTAAGTTTAGCCACCCGAGCCTCCCTCTCATCTCCCTGGTGTTTTGTAAACTCCTCAGCACGCCTGGTTAAATAATGTCTGATGTTGTACTCCTTGTGCACTGCAACTTTCTCAGTGCATTTAAGTCACGTCGGAAAAAAAAAACGTGCGGGCTGCATGAACACGAAACTTTTCCGTCAGGTATCGGACCGCAAAATATCGTCCTGCAGGCCTCAAATGGCTGCGAGTGTGAGACCCCTGATTTATCGGGTTACATATTTTTTTTATTTGAAACTGGGAGTAAGCAGACAAATACGACTTGTCTTACTTCCATTTGTCTTGTTTGCTGAGGAAGGCCCTAAGCCGAACCGTTCACATCGTATCGTAGTGTCCTGTCTGGGAATTCAAGGTTAGGGCTCCTTCCCAAATTACGTCACACGCAAGGGGAGGACGGTCTAAAATTTTCTCATTTTGACAAATCTTTATTCAATTTATTAAATTTTTTAAAATTTTAATTTGAGGTCAACATTTCCTCAGGTATCACAAGTAACGTGAACCTCAGCCGCTCACACTCACACTTTTTGCGCGTATTGAATTGAAAAATGACGCCATCGCTGTTGTGGCCACTTTACATTCGGCTTGTGGAGGACTTCGTTGTTTCGGGTCACTGTCACAGTTTTCTGATAATGCTATGTCTTAATCCATTACGGGAAAATGTTAAAGAATAAAATTAAATCTTAGTTTAGTTATGAAAATTGTATGCATTTTTTATAATATTTTTTTTCAAGTGTTACCTGACACTAAGGGTTTGGGGGGAGGGGGGGGTAAAGAATTTTTGACAGGATGGAGAGGGGGTCTAAAAAGGTCATATTTTGCGTGACGTATTTTGAGAAACAATCCCTTAACATACCTTGTTATACTATTCTATTGTAGACAGCACACTTCCAATTTACCAATGAGTCTATTACCTACAATATTAAATTTATTTTTAATCACGAGTATTGATTTTCAGCTATCCCTAAATTTTACATAAAGATTATAACTGAATTTTAAGAAAAATACAATGTTACATGTTGATTTTTCATAAATATGGTCTGTTTTGTTGACGAGAAAGCCCTGTATTTGGTATTCTTCAACTTCAGCTTAACACAACTCATATTCTTATAATATACAGAGGTCAATTTTACTTCAATCAAATCAAAATGTAATAAACAGTGAGCCAAAATGTAAAAAGTGTGGCAACCCACCCCCGCTCTCCCCTACTACAGGGGGGGGGGGAGGCGGTAGAAAATTTGACTTTTATTTTTGCATACATAATTATAATATTACAATATAGGGATGACCCAGTACTTGATAGAAC